TGAATCCTCAGGTGGAGCACTGTGGATGTCACTAACAAACTCCCCAAACTCTACTGCCATATTTATAATGTCTAGCAATTCCCATCTATGAAATCGCCTTCTTTGTTTCATTCAAAGCTCACTTTAAACTCTGACTCCTCTAAAAATGCTCATTAGAGAAACATAAGGTTAATGTAATTTTTAAGGTAAAATTACACACAAGTCAAACACATTACAAATAATCTAGATTTTTACACTTTTAGGTAAACAAAAGTGAACATCTTCTGCATCTAGAATCCTAAATCAAACTCCCAAGGAGTAAAATTAACAAATTTTGAATATTTAGAAGGCAGTCATATGAAGTGTACAGCACACTGTGGTTGGTCAACGCTATTGTAATCAGTCCAACGTTAGCTTTTAAGTGTTAGGCAACTACAAACTCCATTTTTCTTGGAAAATTCTCCAACTCAATTTAGTCTGCTGATGGCTGCTATTTGACTAAGTGATCAAAACTTTCTCTTTCATTCACTTCATACAAAAATTCAGCTGATAATCTTAACATTTCCTCTAATAGGAAAAGTAACTGACATGCAATGATGAATCAGTAATGGAGCATGGAGATTGCCCTACTTAACATTCTTCAATGGTTCCCAAGAGCCTGCAGTTTAAAGTCCAGACTCCTCTAACTGGCTATCATAGACCTTCAGAATCTGAACCTCATTTATCTTTTTATACAATTTCTCAATCCTCCCACTTCTTACTCTCTGGCCCAGGCACACTAAACTATTCTTAGCTCTCTGGAAAAGTCAAATGCTCTAGATATACTCTCTTGACATTTACCTGGTTAGTTCCCACTCACACTGCAAAGGTCCATTTAGTGGCCTGCATCCATCTGGAGCACCATCATAATTAAATCAAGCATGCCCTAAATGCAGAAACAGTCAACCCACTTACAGTGAGACACGTCTCACATCAACCTTTGCCTTTCTTCAATAATCTCTTGGTAAAATAGTTTATACTGATGACCTCCACTTTTTTTTTCATCCAATAATTTCTAAACCCTTTGTAAACTTGCTTCCCCTAGAATTACTCAACTTTTTTGAAAGCTACTAGTGTCCTCGTAATCATTTAATTCATTGGCAATAGTTTTCGCAACTACTGCCTCCTTAAATTCTCTAAAGCTATCAAGATGCTAGTCACCCAGTTACATTTTCCCTTTCTTTTCCTTCTGTGACAGTTATTCTGGGTCTCTTATTCTGACTGTTCCTTCACTGACTCCACTTTTTCTTTCACTCTTTCTTCTTTCTTGATCTCTTTCTCTGATTGTTCCTTCATTGGCTCCACTGTCATTCACTGGCTCCACATCTTCCTCTGATTAAAGATATTCTTCTGGGTTCATTAGATAAAAAATATCAGCAATAGGATGCCTCCTACTTACTCAATTCAGCAAACTCATTTTTGTACCCAGTTGATTCTAGCTTCTCAGGGAAAAAAGGAGAAATTACAATCCAGTAAAAAGGGTGTTAATATCATTAAATATGACTTAGGTTCACATCTCAGGTCTGTCATTCATGAGCAACGTGGCATGAGGTATACTACTTAATCCATTTAGGCCTCAGCTTTTCATCTATAAGTTGGAGAAAATAATCCTTATCTTTTAGAATTACTTTATGAATTGTAAAGTAAGTATTCCCATGGCAGGTAGGTACATAGTGGGCATTTAACAAAAATTTTTCATTATTGCTGTTATTTCCATACTCACTTCCACCAAACTTGTATAGTCCCTCTGTTTCAACTTCTTTCAATGTGTCATACACATCAACAAAAGATACATCTTCTGGAGTACAGATATCAACAGATTTCTTTTCTGGCCCAACGAGTCCCAACTGCTTGAACCAAAGCACAATTCCTCCCGATTTAAAAATCTTCAGGTTCTAGCCCAAATCTTCCTCTTCAACCTTCTCCCTCACTGATCTTCTAAATGAATACCATTATCCAAACAAATTGGACCTTTTTTGGTTCTCAAACATACCACATACTCTTCACCTCTAAGACCACCTCAGATTCTATAACCTTCATGTAACTTATCTCTCCAGCTGCATATTTTATCTTCAGAGTATTTTATTGGTACTTCTTTCATTAGGGAACTCATAATTCTGCCTGATATTCAATTATTTGTGCATAAATAACCTTTCCTGCTTATAGACTGTAATCCCTTTGAAGGGAGAAACTAGGTTCTTATTCATGCTAGTACTTACCACTTGGCTAAGTGACGACACATGTATATTTTAAAATAATAAACAAGGCTGGGTGCAGCGGCTCATGCCTGTAATCCCAGCGCTTTGGGAGGCCGAGGCAGGCAGATCTAGAGACCAGCCTGGCCAACATGGCGAAATCCCATCTCTACAAAAAATACAAAAATCAGCTGGGCATGGTGGTATGCACCTGTAGTCCCAGCTACTGGGGAGGCTGAGGCAAGAAAATGGCTTGAACTAGGGAGGTTGAGGTTGCAGTGAGCCAAGATGGCACCACTGCACTTCAGCCTGGGTGACAGCATGAGACTCCACCTCAAAATAAGTAAATAATTACAAATAAAATGATAAAAACCCTGACTCCTTCTCAAGGAATTATTTTCATTTCCTCAACTTCTTATGAAGAGGTAGAAGTAGGGTGGGGAGGGAAAGGTGGATATAGGGTACTTACAGAGGCACTGCAGCCTGAATTCCCACTTGGAATTCTCCCAGCACCTGCAAAAAGGCAGGGCTGAAACAGCTATCCTAGAAAATGACCAGGTAAGACTTTCAGATCTGTTAGTCAATGGCAGTCAACCTCTTGGGAAACTCTTTACCAATTTGCTAAGCTTGTCTATATTTCTTTTCTTCTCAAGGGCTATTTTGCCTAACCCTCCAGTCTCCTCTAAACCAATGAGTAAACAAAAGATTTTATTTTAAACCCACAGTTGAACATGTAGTGAAATACACACATATATTTAATGTTTATGTATTAGTTCCTATTTGAGAATTTTCTTTAAAATTTATTTCAACCAAAATCCAACACCAAATTTTATGAGTAATATCATAAGGCAGCACCTACTATGGTGCTTTGTATATAGTACAGATTCAGTATGTAATGGTTAAAAGAGTGGATTTACAGTCTACAATTTCAGGACTTAATTTTGGCTAATTGCAGTGGAAAAAATATCGTCCAAGTAAGCATGACACTTGGGGGTTAAGGCCCACAACACCAGCTAGGTAGACCCTTAGGTGCCCAGTAGTATACAAAGATTTAAGTATATTCCCAGCTGGGCCCCTTAACAATAGAGACGCATCATTTTATTTTGTATTGCTTAGTACTGTGCCAAATCCAAAAATACTCTCCTGAGTGCAAAAGTATTCAGGAATTAGAAATATTGAAAGTTCCATTATTCAAGCAAATTAGGTAGAGTTCATATAATTTTTTCAACTGAGGATCCTCTGTCACTACATAGAGTAAGCAAAGTATGCAATAATCAGAATTATTAGTCTTAATTTACATAAGAACACACTGCTGCCACTAAAAGCCAGTTCAAGACTCTTCTTTCCACTACTGAATGCCAAAGAAACACAAAAAAAGAAAAAAATGGAAGGATCTTTAGAAAACATGCAGCTTGATTTTTTTTTTTAAGATGACAAAAACTGAGGCCCACAAAGACAGTCACATTAGCTCAGAGATTCTACTAAAGCTAAATAATTTCATGCAAAATCATCTCCCTCTGATTAGCATTACCTACACACACACACACACACACACACACACACACACATACTTTTTCTTTTTGCCTTTCTGAAAATCTGGAGGTCTAAAAAGACTTCAAGATTTCTCCAAGTTAAAGATACACGTTTGCACATGTAACCAGAGAGCAAGTTTTATTTGGTCCACGTGTTTTCTTTAAAAAAAAAAAAAAGGAACGAGAGGGGATGTCAAGTGCAGTAGGCAAATGTTCTCAAACTTTATTGTGCAACCCCTATAGCACAGGCTCTTACTGTAGAGTTCAGTCACATTAATGAAAAGATATTTTCATGTAGTAAAAGGAGCACAAACGTTGAGGTTTTTTGTTTTGAGACAAGAGTCTTGCTCTGTTGCCCTGGCTGGTGTGCAGTGGCATGATCCTGGCTCACTGCAACCTCCGCCTCTTGGTGTCTAAACCATTCTCCTGCCTCAGCCTCCAGAGCAGCTGGGATTACAGGCGCCCGCCACCAGGCCCAGCTAATCTTGTAGTAGAGACGGGGTTTCGCCATGTTGGCCAGGCTGGTCTCAAACTCCTGACCTCAGGTGATCCATCTGCCTTGGCCTCTCCAAGTGCCGGGATTACAGGCGTGAACCACTGCACCTGGCCCAACTTGAGGTTTTATCTACCACTTACTATGCAGTCTTGGCTAGGACACATCTTCTTTGAGCCCTAGTTTCCTCATCAGTGAACATTTGAGAGGTATGCCTAGCACACTGCTGAAGATTGATATATATTTGTTGAATAACACAGCCGATGCTCAACAAGACACACACACACACACACACACACACACACACACACACACACACACGGTTGGGTAGTAGAGTCCCCAAGGAGCTCCAGAACTGGAAGCTCCCGGCGCGCCTCTTCTCAGCCTTAATCAGTGCCCTTAATCAGAACTCCCTGGGCCTCGCACCAGGCCTCCAGAACACGCAGGAGTGTCGTTTCGCCTTTTCTCGCGGTTCCTCGCCCTCAGGGCCAGAGTCCGAGGAAGCCCTTTAGCGCTTCTCGGCCTCCGAGACAACTCCAGCACTGGGGAGCTTGCCCTGCAGTTAGCGTCCAGCGGGAATTAGGCACTTGGTTTTTCTCAACGTTTCAATCTCTATCTTCTGGTGGGAGTCAAAGTTCAGCAGCCCCAGGACCCTTCCAACAGGGTGTCTAGGCCACACCCCGCCTTCCCGGCGGTGGCAGGTCCATTCCCCGCGGTCTGAGTGGCCAAGTTGCCTAGCAAACTGGGGCGGGGCTTTGGAAACGACGGTCCTGAGCGCCATTTGCGCAGGCGCTCCGGCCCTGACTTCTGACTCTCGCGAGAATCGGCTCCCGGAAGTTCCACGTCAGTCAGTCTGACGGTCAGCGGGCCGGTGGGTTCCTCTCAGGCTTGCGTAGCCGGTAACAAACGAGGGTGCCCAGGCTCGGACCAACACAGCGATGGTAGGTCCATTCCCCGTAGAAGGGAACGGGGTAGGCTACGGCCGATTCCTGGGGCTTCTGGACTGAGGGCCGCGGTAGGCAGTGGTCTGGGCTCCCGCTGCGGCCGCCGCCTCCGGCCTTGCAGGGTGTTAAACCGGTTTGGTACCGGGAAGGGAGAAGGCGGTGGGCCCGAGGGAGCCGGGATGATTTGGGGAGGCAGTGCCTGCTAGTGAGGGGTTGTCTCCCCTAGCGCTTGTGGCGCTTGCCGGAGCTCCTGCAGTCTGCAGCGGGGTGTAGGGAAATACGGAGGCCGAAAATGTTGAACTCAGTAGGAGGCTTTGGTAAAACGACTTAAATTTGCTTTTAAAACGGTGGCAGTTAATCTCCACTCCTGTTGGCCTTATTCCGGGAATGATGTGTGCTGACTACAAACTATAAACTTAAGCAGAGAAGCCAAAAAAAAGTATATGGGGTCAAAAATGGAATTTCAAATGCTTTGGTTTCTCAGCTCTTGGGTTTCGCGGGGGAGAAGCAGCGTTGTGAGGAAGTGGATGCTGTGTATAACACTGGCTGGCATGCTTTTATGCATTTGCAAATACAGTGGTTAGAATAGTACTTGTTTGAGCACTTTGTTATTATCACCATAACCCTAAAAAACGCCCTAGAATAGCACAAGAGTGTTATAAAAATAAGGAAAGAATAGTGTAAGAATATCTTCCGTCTCTATTAAAAATACCAAAAAAAAAATTAGCTGGGCGTGGTGGCACACACCTGCAATCCCAGCTGCCCTCAGGAGGCTAAGGCAGGAGAATCGCTTGAACCTGGGAGGCCGAGGTTGCAGTGAGGCGAGATAGTGCCACTGCACTTCAGCCTGGGCAATAGGGTGAGACCCCCATCTCAAAAAGAAAGAATTTTACATTTAAACGTTTTTCTGCCTTTAAGAAAAACTTGTTTATAAAGGACAGAATCAAACATTTTGGAGCTTGAAGACGCTAAGGATTAAGCCCCTCCTCTTCAGTTAAAAAATCTTTTTAAGTTTCTGTAAGGCTAGCTGTGGCAAAGTTGGAACTGGAAACAGTAAAAAGTTATGAATACTCCCATAAAAAGTTCACAGTGAAACAACATTTTTGCATAAAATGCAATGCATTCTTCACCACCACCACCCCAACTCCCCAACATAGACTCTTTTTTTTTAATTTTGTTTTATAAAAGGTATGGAATGCTTCAGGGATTTGTGTGTCGTCCTTGCCCAGGAGGCCATACTTAATCTCTGTATCCTTCCAATTTTAGTATATGTGCTGCTGAAGCTCCCGCCATCCATGAACTTTCTTGGACACCCAGTTTACAGTCCCCAAACAAGTCCTCAAGCCTCTTAATTAGAGCACTTCGTATTACTAACTACCTGCTCTAGTTTGGGTCTGCTTTGGTTGCAGTAATGGACGTTTTAAAAGGCCCTTGGATCTGCCTAATTTCATTTTTTTAATGCTGTCTTTACATTTACCAGTGTATTTATATAAGGAAATATTGCCTTGATTTTTTTAATATATTTTAAATCCTTTGTGGAAAATAAAAAACGTGAATTTACTCATTTGCACATTTACCATAGAGTATTTACTCTGTGCCATGCACTTTGCTAAACATGGCTGCCTAATTCTCACAGCAGCTGTGAGTTATACGTTTATGAGGTGGTTACTGTAGGCCAAGCACTGCTGTAACTGGTTAACTCTGAATTTAATTCTTACAGCACTAAGAGGTAGATAATAATATCCCTGTTTTATATAAGTCAAACTTGAGAGGTTAAGTAAGTTTATCCAGTATTGTGCATCTGAAATGAGTGGTGGAACTGAAATTTAAATCCATCATGACTTAAACCCCCATACTCAAATGTATAAGGTGATCTGGAGATGAAGATATGTATCATAAATAACCCTGCCTTTAAGGAGCATCTAGTCTAGAAAGCAAGAAAATATGTGTACACAAGTGTACCATGAACAATTAAAATGAAATCCTATAGGATTCCCTAGGAAAGAATGCTTCAGGCTAGGGCAACTAGAAAGATCTTACTGGTGGCGGTGGCACTTAAGCTGACTCCTAAATGCATCCAGATTTTGGAAGATGGAGGGAGACATTGAGAGTTGAGGATACAGTGTGAGCATCCTAGTCATCTTTGTCCCAAAGTATCTAGTACATTTTCTTATTCAAAATGATCACTTAACTGTTAAGAGAAATATTATCACACTTTTTTTTTTTTTTTTTTTTTGAGACGGTGTCTTGCTCTGTCATCCAGAGTGGAGTGTAGTGGCACCATCTCAGCTCACTGCAACCCCTGCCTCCCAGGTTCAAGCGATTCTCCAGCCCGAGTACCTGGGACTACAGGCATGTGCTACCACATCCAGCTAAGTTTTTGTTTTTTTTTTTCATTTATAGTAAAGACGGGATTTCAGCATGTTGGCCAGGCTGGTCTTGAACTCCTGATCTCAGGTGATCTGCCTGCCTCAACCTCCCAATGTACTGGGATTACAGGTGTGAGCTACCACATCCAGCTGCCTGTTCTGTTTTAAACTGAGATTTGTGCTTTGGGAGTATTAGAGGTTTACTGGGCTTGCTCAGAGTTCTCTGGCTCAACTTATGTAGCATCACTTTTACTCAGTAATCAATAAGTTAAAATGTTTTAAAGTAAAATGTTCACAATTTGTAAGTGTCCAATTTCCTCTTTACTGGAGGAAAATTGTGAGATATGCTGGCTTGTATGTAAACCCTCACCATGGTTCCTGCCTGGTACATAATAGATACTTCATACCTATTGACTCCTAAGAGATTTAAAAAGAAGTTAAAATTTGCTATAGTAATTTATGGGGCAGAATTCAGAAATGGATAAAGTAGAAAGCCTTGTTTTTCTGAACTAGCAAGGAATGTGAAGATGATGATTTGAAAGTAGAAAACTGGGGTCGGGAGTTTGAGACCAGCCTGACCAATATGGTAAAACCCTGTCTCTACTGAAAATATAAAAACAAGCCAGGCGTGGTGGTGAGTGTCTGCAGTACCCAGTTACTCGGAGGCTGAGGTAGGAGAATTGCTTGAACCTGGGAGGCAGAAGTTGTGGTAAGCCGAGATTGCGCTGCTGCACTCCAGCCTGGGCGACGGAGTAAGATGCTGTCTCAAAAAAAAAAGAAAAGAAAATTGGAGATAGAGAGGAAGGGATTGATGACAGCGAAAACATTTTTTAAGAAATTGAAGAGAAGAGCCAGAGAACTCTTCTGATCTTTTAAAGTAAGAGGTAAAGGTTGTTGCTGAAAGTGAAGGAGGTGTGGATAGAACAAGACTTGAAGTAGTCAGTGACCCAAATTTCATAACCCCCAAAAAGATGCGTAAAAGCGCTGAGGTGTTTTGTCTTAGGAAATTTTCTCTGCTAGATCTTCTTTTTACATTGAAAAGTAACCTTAAATTTCGGTCCCACTTATGATCATCATAGAATATCACAGCAATAAAGATTTGACAGTAACTCAACTTGCCAAATGAGCTTTTAGGTTGCATTTAAGACCTGTTGAACGGGAAGTGTATTTTAAATCAGTCTTTTCACAGCATGCCTCCTAGAGAGAATTAAGCCCATTGCTCTAAGATATCATTGTATATAGTGAATTTGCTTTTCTCCTACAATGGCATTTTTTTTGAGAATGGAGAAAATAGTTACTCAAATCATTGTCTCTTCTGTAGTTCAAAGGAAGAATTTGACTGGAAAAAGGCTATCATAAACTTAGTATTTTCTGACTTGAGAGAATGTTTTTGTTTTAAATTGTTCCAATTTTCATTATGTTTCTGTAATTTAAATCCATTAAAATATTTCCAACATTCCCATTTGACACCAGAGGCTGTCATGCACAGGGATATAACCTTTATTGATCACATATTACATTACCTAGCACTTACTAATATTTTCCCAAGATAAATCTACCACTTTTCTCCAAAGAACTTAATTTAATATTATGCTTTAGGGTTATTAAGACTTCATGAATAACACTTCTTCAGAATATTTTCTGATATGACACTATTGACCAGGGCACAAAATTGTGATTTGTGAATATTTAAAATTTATTTCCTAGGTAATTCTATGAACCAGAGCTTCTCAAAATGTGATCTGGGATTTCTTAAGAGTCCCTAATACTCTTTTAGGAGGTCCACAGTTTTAAAACTGTTTTCTTAACAGTGAGACTCTATTGACAACTTTCAAAATATTCATATTTGCACTGATGGTGCAAAAGTAATGGAAGGTAAAACTGCTAGTGAAGTGACACCAAATTGTACTGACAGTATATCCTTCATTGTTACACAATTTTTTTTCAAAGCCATTTTCACTTAAGAATGTCATTGATGAAACAGTAAAAATTTTATTACTTCTTCACACTTCAGTATGCATCTTTTAAATTCTGTTTGGTGAAATGGAGAGTATGCATAAATCAGTTCTACTGCGTAGTGAAGTATGATGGTTATCTCAAAGAAAAGCACTTGTACTGTTTTAAGTTGTAAGCTTTACTTGAAACAATGACAGAAACTCTGCTTATTCAGACTTGAATATTTGACAGACTTTTTTTTAAAAACCTGAAAGTGGTTGGCTGGTCCCTGTAGTGTTGCCAATGATGAAAGAAGAGCTTTCAAGTGAAAATTAGAACTTCGAAAAACTCTGAACTTGATGGATTTCCAATGGTTTAAAGGCTTATCAGTTGAAGTAGGTGGTGAAATTAGTGGATGTAATTTTTTTTATAAAGTATAATGATGTCAGCATCTAGAAGATGTGCATAATTCAGTGAACTGGCATTTTCCAAATGACCAATGCTTAATGTTACAAAAACATGCATGAGAGAAAGATCCAATCAAAGTATGGACTAAACCAATGGATTTTAATGTAGCAAAGTATAAACAGCTTATTGATATGGTTTCAGATTTTACCTTGTAAGTAACCTTTAAAAAACTTCTACTTCTCAAATTTTGAAGAGTAAATCTTATTACTTGAAAAACCTATTAAGATATTCCTCACTTTCCAACTAGGTATCTGTGAGACTAGGCATTATTTTGTATACATTAATCAAAACAACATGTCATGACATATGGAAGGCAGAAGCAGACATGAGAAACTCTCTTTTGTTAAGTCAGATTGTAAAGAGTTTCACAAAAATGTAAAATACAGCCACTTTTCTTAATCTTTTTTGAAAACAGTTATTTTTCATTAAAACATGTTATTTTAGTTAACATTTACTAGATCTATTTTTGTTAGTTGAAAATGAATTATATATAAATAAAGTTGTATGAGGTTTAATTTTTAACATGGTAACATATCAACAGATAAAACTCACATGAACAAAAGCTCTTTGGGGTCCTCACAATTTTTGAAGACTAAAGGAATCGTTAGAGCAAAGTTTGAAGACTGCTGCTATAAATCTTAAGATGTTAAATATTCTGATTTTTTGTATGTGTGAGTGAAGAAATAGGTGCTTAGACTTGAAACTGTGTCAATAACTTAGCAAAATAGTAACTGATTGATTTATAGGTCTGGTAATGTACTGTTTTTAATGTTTCTTTTTAGCCTCTGCGACTTGATATCAAAAGAAAGCTAACTGCTAGATCTGATCGAGTTAAGAGTGTGGATTTGCATCCTACAGAGCCATGGATGTTGGCAAGTCTTTACAATGGCAGTGTGTGTGTTTGGAATCATGAAACACAGGTAGGAATTTTTCAAGACTTTATTAGAAATAAAATACTATGTTAAACTGTTTTTATAATGAAAGAGAAGAAATAACAGAATCCAGAAGCTATATGCAAACTGCTTTCTCAAATTGGTACACAGTGTTTTAAATATGAAGGAACTAACATGTATGAAGGGATAGTTTATAGGAGAAACTGTCCTGGGTATGTTATATACAATATTTAAATATAACAACTCTGACTTAGGTAGTATTAGCTTTGTTTTGAAATTGAGAAAACTGATGCTATTATAGGATCACTTGTTAAAATATTTAATTGTTCATTTTCCATTCAGTGAATATTGTGTCTTAAGAATGGTATTTTAAAATTTATTTTTTCCCTTAAATATTCAGTGTAATGATATGCAGATAATTCTTTCAGCATTGTAGGGAATATATCAGGGAAATATTTATAATCAGCTTTTGATTATACACACATCTTACAGATTGTCTGCCTAGATGCCTGACTCATTCTCTTTTCCCTGAGTAAATAACATATCCTTCAAATTAGTTTATCTCATATTTTCCAGTCTTCCTAGAGTATATTTAAGAGTACAAAGAATATAGTTAGCACTGTTCCATACATTTGTGTCTAAAGTTAAGTTCTTGAAATCCAGGTAAAATGGACATTTGAGGAATTTAAAATGGCAAAATAGGATCAAGGAACCAAAGCCAGAAGTAAACCTAAAAACACCTGTACACTTTTATACTCACTGTAATGAAACAGAAATGTCTGTACACTAAACTCATACCCTGTATGAGACCTGATGGTTTATGAAACCGTTCTCACACTGCTATAAAAAACTACCTAAGACTGGGTAATTTATGAAGGAAAGAGTTTAATTGACTCACAGTTCCACAGGCTTAACAGGAAGCACGACTGGGAGGCCTTAGGGAACTTACAATCTTGGCAGCAGGGGAAGGGGAAGCAAGCACCTTCTTCACATGGTGGCAGGAGAGAGAGAGCGAAGCAGGAAGTGCCACACAGTTTTAAACCGTCAGGTCTCATGAGAAGTCATTATCACAAGAACAGCAAGGGAGAAATCCACCCCCACGATCCAATCACCTACCACCAGGGCCTTCCTCTAATTCAACATGTGATTCAGGTAGGGAAGCAAATCCAAACCATATCCTAGTCCATCAGTGACATTTTATACAAATTAACATTTTCTTTTCTGCTGTATCCCAGAGCCTATAACATCACCTGGCACATAGTAAGTGCTCAATAATTTCTTTGTTCTATGAATGAATAATAGGCATTTCTCTTATCACTAGTTCAGAATTTCTGTTCTTGGCAGTTTCAGATCTTGTGAATTCTTTTTGCTTTGATGCAAATAACCATTTTTCCCCCTTTTGCTTTAGTTCTTTAGATGTTTAAAGTATTTCTGATTTTATATTTAACAGATATGTTGGTGTCCTCTCTCCTTGATTATTCCTAGGGATTCTCTCTTATCAGCTACATTTACCTGTCTCTCAGCTCTATCACTTGACTGTCCTGTGTTCTAAAGCCCAGGCATACTTTTCTTATCTTTCTCTAGACTTTATTGTAATATATCACTGCTTTATCTGCATTTCCACTTTGCCTCCTTTTTCTCTTCTATCTATACCTTTTTGTGCCATGTAACAGGACCATCTGCTATGCCCTTTTGTAATTCATCTCATTGGTAATTTCACTTTTAATTTCCTTCTTTTCTCCAAGAATGGAGGTTCTGTGAGGACAAGGATATCCTCATCTTGTTTCCCACTAATGGTCCAGTGTATGGGGCACTTCCTGACACACTGTCAGGCTTGTAGTAGATACTCAGTAAGTCTTCGTTCAGTGATTGATCCGTCTTTGGTTCTCCCTGTTTTTTCCCCTGTGTTTATAGCACCAACAGGAGTTATTTACCACTCCTATATTGAGAGCAAATTCTTGAGAGAGCCAAAAACATTTTGGAAGTAAATTCAGATATATTTGAATTTCAAATATGGAGATACTATATACTTTTTGAGTTGGTACATGCAGTGGTTTAAAAAACACAGTATTTTAGGATTTGAAGCCACCTTGCTGATTAAATTATATAGGCAAGCTTTTTAACCATGCTGAGCCTCTGTTTATTAATCTGAAGTGAGGATGAAATTATTGCCTTCCCTACATCACAGGATTGTCAAAAAGATCAAATAAATTTAGATAAAAGTGTGAATGAAATCTATAAAGTACCATGTAAGTATTAGTCATTAGACATACTTTCCTAATCCACATTGAGCATTTGTCTGTATTGCATATGTAGCCTTTCTTACTCTTCATTTGCATCAGTCATATCCCCTAACATGGTCTTGAACCTTGGCTGTTTGTTCTGCATCTGCTTTATTTTTACTGTTCAGCAGATCCCTGGGTTTGTTGTCTCCTCATGAGCTTTGTGGATTTCTCTGCTGTGTTATAGATTGCATGTTCTGTCTACTCTCAGTATCTGTATCATAGTCAGCTGGTAGTAATTCTACAGGTTGGAGCCGAAGTCCCTCTTCATTCAGCCTTTGTCTAAAGAATCGTTGAACTCTGTCTTGAAAAGCCAGAGTAGGCTCAACAGTGCTTATCCAGTCCCTATTACTTTTTTAGCACACGTGGTTAATGAGTCATTAAGATTATATTGAGTTTCTTAGTTATTTCATTTTTGCACTCTGATACAAAAAAGGACTGGAAAATGATAGTTTGACTTTCAGAATTTTAAGAACAGGCATCAAAGAAGGAGGACAAAGAGGTACCATTATCTCTCCTTTTTTAGGAGGATCTCCTAGTTTTCTAGCTTTATGCTATATGTATAATTCCATTCTGAGCAGCTTGGGGGAACAAATGAATCACTGTTTTCATATTTTACTAATAAGAAATAACATTTATATGGAATCATATTGCTAAAGCATGCAAAAGAATTATACCTTGTTCAAGAGTCACTTTTATGGGTTTCAATTTCAAAAAGACTGACCGGGTGCAGTGGCTCATGCCTGTAATCCCAGCACTTGGGAGGCTGAGGCAGGTGAATCATTTGAGGCCAGGAGTTCGAGACTACCCTCGCCAACATGGTGAAACCCCATCTGTACTAAAAATACAAAAATTCGCTGGGCATGGTGGCGCACACCTGTAATCCAGCTACTTGGGTGACTGAAGCATGAGAATCACTTGAAGCCAAGAGGCAGAGGTTGCAGTGAGCTGAGATTGTGGCACTGTACTGCACTTTAGCCTGGGTGACAGAGTGAGACTGTCTCAAAAAGAAAAACTAAGCTAATTCATTCAACAAATACTTATTAAATACTAATTGTGTGCCAGCCACTGTTCTAGCTACTGCATATACAGTGTGAAAAATATTACTGCCTTCGGAGAGCTTAGCGGGAAAGACTGGCACTAAACATAATTATGAGGTGCTACATTATGAAAGGGAAGTACAAGTTTCCATGGGTGGGTTTTCAAGGCAGAAGGAACAGGAGGAGAGATGAGGCTGGGAGTAGCCAAAGGTGAGGCTGGAAAAGGGAGGGAGGGGCTGGATCACAGAGGATCTGGAATATCATCTTGTGGACATTTGCTTTCTCTTGTTTTTAAAAAGTGTTTTAATTTTGAATCTCCTGAAAGACAATTGGTCTTGTTAAAAAATTTAAATGTTAAGCTTTTATATTTTAAGCCTGAGAATATATTGAAATGAGAAATGATCTAAAAAATTGGATGTTTGAAATATAGCAGAGTAGATTTTGTGGTTATTTTCGTATAGCTCAGTTTGTGTATTCTTGATACATTTTAGACACTGGTGAAGACATTTGAAGTATGTGATCTTCCTGTTCGAGCTGCAAAGTTTGTTGCAAGGAAGAATTGGGTTGTGACAGGAGCAGTAAGTAATTAATATGAAACTCTATTCCCATTTTCTGAATTGATCAATGATTATGTAAATTAGTTGTAGGATTTTGACTCCCAATTTGTTTTTGTTAATTACAGCAATGTTTTGCAGCATAGACTTCATTTCTTGAGCCTGTAATAGTTTTTTGTATAATTGATAATAGAGATGATGTTTTTAAAATTTCTGTTTCTAGGATGACATGCAGATTAGAGTATTCAATTACAATACTCTGGAGAGAGTTCATATGTTTGAAGCACACTCAGACTACATTCGCTGTATTGCTGTTCATCCAACCCAGCCTTTCATTCTAACTAGCAGTGGTAAGAGATGACCACTTTTGGTCATGTGCATCTCTTTGGGTAATTCATTTTCGTTCACTGAGACATGCTATTCTTTAACTGCTGTTACAAATAGAATTCTAATTCCAAGCAGCCTTTAAACTATTTAGATCCATTACTGGGCTATTGATGCTGCTTGTGTTTGTACTTTAATGAAATATCAACTGTACTTAGGATTTGTATAATGAGTGCTCCAATTCCTGTCAGAGAAGACCTGCAAGTTTAGATGTTTAAACATCTGAAGAGAAAGGTCATTTACATATTGATGAGTGAGTTTTTGGCAAATTGCCATAGACTCTAGTCAGTTGAATGTATTTAAACTAGTTTGGTCCTAGGTATTATGTATAAGCAGTAGACCTCTTGGAGGACTGGTAAAAGAAATAGCCCTGAATTGGTAATAGCTCTTTGAAATGTTTCTAAACTAAAAATTAGGAACTAATTAAAAACTTTTTAAAAACCAGTCTTGTCAGGGCAAATGCTTGTTCTCTACATAGTCTTTGCTATCACTATTCAGTCATGCTTAGATTCTAATCAAATTTTTATTACTCTTTTGTCATTCTTTAATGCCCACTGAACTTTTAAGTTTTTTTCACAAAATTTTTATATTTGCTATTTTTAATCTATTTATTTAATCTCCATTTTTCTACAGAGTTAAATGTATTTTTAAGATAAATAAGCATTTTGAAAACTGTTCAGTTTTGATTCTATTTCTATAAGTAGTGAATTATGTGATTTGTGTTAGGTTTGCTTCCCCTGAAGACTGTGTCTTAGTTCTGAAGTAAAAAAATATAGAAATTAAAACTAACCTGAGACTTTCGTTCGGCCTAGATGATATGCTTATTAAGCTCTGGGACTGGGATAAAAAATGGTCTTGCTCGCAAGTGTTTGAAGGACACACCCATTATGTCATGCAGATTGTGATCAACCCCAAAGATAATAACCAGTTTGCCAGCGCCTCTTTGGACAGGACTATCAAGGTAGGGTGTTCACATGGTGTGTCAGTTATTCCTTATTAGTGAACTATACTTGCCTTAAGTGTTTTACTGTTGATTGGCCATAAATTTACCCATCTTAAAAGTGTTTCTCAAAAGCCTATTTTGAAGTCACAATAGGACTTCTCATTTTAATCTAAAGGACCTGTTTTGTTTAGAAAAATATTGTGGCAACTCAGTGCTCTTAATGAAGGAGCATTTTTTGTTGTGGAAGCAGCATGTCATAAAAATTTTTTGGCCTTTGGAAACCCAGAATAAGAAAATGCCCGTATCTTTTCTAGGTTACTACTTTCCTCTCCTTTTAGCATATTCATTATTGACTTCTGCTCATTGTTCATCTATTTTACATTTAAATTCCATATGCCTTTATTCTCTCTTTTTTGCTCCATTTCACCACACTGCTGCTGTATCTTCCTAAAACACAGATTGCATCTTGTCAGTTCCTGATCTAAGGATAAAGTCCAAATGCCTTAGTGTGGAATACAAGGATTTCCAAGACTAGCCTGGGCTATTATTATGCGATGTCTCCTACTGTCTACTCACCATCCTCTATAGAGAGGCCGTGAATGTTCACAAAACCTTACTTTATTGAACTGTTCCCTCTGCCTGCAGTTCTCTTTGTTTTCCTGTTTTGATATATTTTCCTCCAGAGAACTACTCAGCTTTTAAGGCTTTGCACAAATATTTGCTCTTGAGGAGCTCTTGTCAGACATCCACTTCATCTCTAGACAAATCAAGTTATGCTTATCCCATTTCTTCCACTGCTTTTTTGCCTCTGTTTCAGCCTTTCTTAGATTGAATTATACTTACATCTTTTTGGAAATCTTTCTCCCCTGAAATGCTGGATTTGGAGGGTAGAAATTATGTGTCAGTCGCTTCCCCCACACATTCAGTAGCAAACAGCAAAGCGCCTTACCTGTCCAAGATGCTTAATACATGTTGCAGTGAGTGCAGTTATGCTCCTTTTTTTTTTTTTTTTTTTTTTTTTGAGGCGGAGTTTCGCTCTTGTTACCCAGGCTGGAGTGCAATGGCACGATCTCGGCTCACCGCAACCTCTGCCTCCTGGGTTTAGGCAATTCTCCTGCCTCAGCCTCCTGAGTAGCTGGGATTACAGGCATGCGCCACTGTGCCCAGCTAATTTTTTGTATTTTTAGTAGAGACGGGGTTTCACCATGTTGACCAGGATGGTCTCGATCTCTTGAACTCGTGATCCACCCGCCTCGGCCTCCCAAAGTGCTGGGATTACAGGCGTGAGCCACCGCTCCTGACTCCTTTTTTAATCATAATATTTAAAATAGTCCCATATGCATAGACTTAAATTAACTTTTATTACCTATGTAGCACTGTTAATAGTTTTCCTTTATGTAAAATGTTATGTGTCCGAATATCTTAGGGCTTTGACCTTAGTTATTTTGCTTTTCATTGGATTATCTTTGCTTATTTTTTCTTATTTTCTTTTTCTTTTTTTTTCTACCATTCAATCAGTATTATATCCTTGTTTTTTGACATAGATTAAGTTTGAAATTAGTTTTAAGCTTTTTTACTAAATTAGGTTTATCTTGAAAACAAGAATCATCTTCAGTTCCAGTAAAGTTTATTTTATACAGTAATTGATAAATATTTGTTACACATCTTTATACTCCCCACAGGGCCCCCCATCATACGGTGGGCACTCAGTAAATATTTGTAAAGATAAAGCTTAATCCTGTGCTGTGGTAATTTTTAACCATTTTCTACACTTTAAATTTTAATTAAGCAGTAATTATTTCCTTTTAATATATCTTTATGTATTTATTTATATATTTTTGAGTTACAGTCTCTGTTGCCTGCTGGAGTGCAGTGGCATGATCACCTTTCATTGCAACCTCAAATTTCTGGGCTGAACTGATCCTCCTGGCTCAGCCTCTCAAGTTGTTAGGACTACATGCATGTGCCATCATGGCCAGCTAATTTTTTACTTTTTTGTAGAGATGAGGTTTTGCTGTGTTGCCCAAGTTGGTCTTGAGTTCTTGGGCTCAAGTGATCCTTCCATCTGGGCCTCCTAAAGTGCTGGGATTACAGGTGTGAGCCACCATGCCCAGCCACTTTTAATATATCTTACTAAATCCACTTTCATGAGCTGTATATTAAATCTCTAATAAAGTAATTTCATACCCTTCAAGTAATATTTCTCAAAGTCTTAAACACTTAGATTCCTGGACTTCACTGTGGATTGACTGAGTTATAATCTCTAGAGATAAAGCCTGGAAATTGGTGCTTCTTTTAGAGAACACCATGGTGATTTCACCCCCTGAAAATTCAAGTAACATGAGAAAGAACAAAAACCAAACAGATTTAAAAATAAAATTTCATAGCTGTTCTCTCCTGAGCTTTGGCATTTTACATAATATGTCAGAAATGTGGTAGATTTGCCTTTTGAAAAGCAAGGCCTCATATTGACTGGCAGATGCTGTTGCTCTCTGAAGGTGTGGCAGTTGGGCTCTTCGTCACCAAACTTCACTCTGGAAGGACATGAGAAAGGCGTCAATTGCATTGATTACTACAGTGGTGGGGACAAACCATACCTCATTTCAGGTGCAGATGACCGTCTTGTTAAAATATGGGATTATCAGGTACAATTTTTCATAACCTCCTATATGTTAGATATGTCTCTTACTACTTCTTATAGGACAGTTAAGACTTGGGTTGTTGAAATCTGTTCACAGCATAATAACTTAAAGTATCAGTATTTGCACCTAAACTATGTTCCCAGATTTCTCCATAAAAATGAAAACAATGCATATCAAGATTTTAAAAATAAAATATCAGCATGTTCATATTTCATTTCATAACAGCATTTAGAAATTTTAACATTTTAATGTTGAATTTTCCTCCATAATCTTCATTCTTATTTGTAAGCCAGCAGATCAACAATACCAATCATTTTGCCACATAGAACTCTTGTAAACCTAGTTATAACTCTTAACATGCTTCCTATCCCTAAGATTTTCTTATATTTTGATATTTTTTTCACAACAAAAGTTCTCATAAGCAATTAATAAAATGAGGCCTAGAAAGTCAGTTTTACCTTGAAATATTTTCAAATTTGTACTTATTCAGAATAAAAATATTAAATGCTAAAGCAGTACAGTCTAATTAGCCAGTGATAGTTGGTGTGAGTTTTAAGGGGAAAATCCATTATCCTGAGAATTTGGGGGAATAATATTCAGATGAAAGCCTGCTTGGTTTTTTCCCCCCTATTTAAATATGATAGTTATATTTACATTTATTTTATAAAATAATTAGATAAAATATATGTAAAACAAGATCATCCTATTTCAAAAATATCTGTATTGGATATTATTTAGATTGTCATAACTAATTACCATCATTTATAATGTATCTACACATTGAGAAATTTAAGGTTGGTCTGGTTACATGGTTTTCACTAATAAATGTTTTCTATTTCTTAATTACAGAATAAAACATGTGTGCAGACATTGGAAGGACATGCCCAAAATGTGTCTTGTGCCAGCTTTCATCCTGAGTTGCCAATTATTATTACAGGTTCAGAAGATGGTAAGTTAGAAGGGTATGTTTATTCCCTGTGTTGCTAACTACTGAGTGGGCATTTAAAGCAAGTAATGTCTCTGCATTGTAATTGGAGATTTCCAAGGATTTTGATTGAAGTACTAGACTTAAGCTATAAACAAAAGAGTAAAGGGACATTATTTTCATTAGCATCATTATTACCATTCTCATGTATTTTGATTTTGTCACTTAAATAAGAGGACCATCAGATGTCCTAGAGAAAAATTGAAAAAGCATGTGCTTTGGAGTCAAACAAACCTGTCAGGCTGTTACTTCATGAATGTGTGGTTTGGGCAAATTATGAAATGGAAACACATATATCCACTTCATAGGATTATAGTGAGAAGAAATCATGTGTAGAAAGCATCTGGCACATAGGAAATACTCTACCCAGAAAATCCGGTTATTATTTCATGTTTAAAATTGTAAGTCTTAGGTTTTGTTTCTTATATGTTGTCTGTTGTTAGTTTATGTTGCTTTTTAAAATCATTTAAAGACAGGAGATCAAAAAATTGGTCGTTAAACTGCCGGGAAGTGTTATCTTTTTGAATAGAAAGACTTCCATGGGTGTCTTACCTGACACAGTTTATTGTCAGATGTTTGTATCAAAAGGGAATATTTACATTGTTCTTTTTAGGAACAGTACGTATTTGGCATTCAAGCACCTACCGGCTAGAGAGCACACTGAATTATGGAATGGAGAGGGTATGGTGCGTGGCCAGTCTAAGAGGGTCCAACAATGTCGCTTTGGGCTATGATGAAGGGAGCATCATTGTTAAGGTAATTAAACTATCCCTCTCAGTAGGTGGGCATAGGCAAAGACATTTTCTTTGTATTTTAATATTGTCATCTTCCAATTCACCAGTTTTGTAAAACTGGCACTTCTTTGATTAAGCACTAGACATTAAGCAATGAAGATTTAAAGTGGAAGAAAGGAAATAGAGCTCTCTGTGAGGTGAAAAAATAATCTGTTTTATTATGGTTTTATTCATTTTTCTTTTCTTTTTTTTTTTTTTTTTGAGACAGGGTCTTGCTCTGTCACTAGGCTGGAGTGCAGTGGTGCAATCTTGGCTTGTTGCAGACTCTGCCTCCTCGGTTCAAGCGATTCTCCTGCCTCAGCCTCCCAAGTTGCTGGGGACTACTACACCCAGCTAATTTTTGTAATTTTAGTAGAGATGGGGTTTCACCGTGTTGGCCAGGATGGTCTTGATCTCTTGACCTCGTGATCCTCCCGTCTTGGCCTCCGAAAGTGCTGTGATTACAGGCGTGAACCACTGTGCCTGGCTTCATTTTCCTTTTCATTGCTGAGAGCTATTTGTCTTTCTTTCAGCTTGGTCGGGAGGAACCTGCAATGTCCATGGATGCCAATGGAAAGATAATTTGGGCCAAGCATTCAGAAGTCCAGCAGGCCAACCTAAAGGCAATGGGAGATGCTGAAATTAAAGATGGAGAAAGATTGCCACTGGCAGTAAAGGATATGGGCAGTTGTGAAATATACCCTCAGACTATTCAGCACAATCCTAATGGGCGGTAAGCCATCACCAAAATTTGTCTCTCAGCTTCTGTGTATGTTAGAACAGGTTTGCAGATCCACAGTCCACTCTTAACTTGTGGTTGGCATCTCTGATCATTCCTCTGTGTGCTTTTGCCCTGGCCCCACAATTCTCAGCACAGCTATAGGTAGCCATGCTAGTCGAACAAGTTGGCATGAAAGATAGAGCATGTTTGCCCTCCTGGCCTTGTTCTATACCACACAATTTTGAATAGTTAAATAGTACTATTTACTGTTATTTCACATGCATTGAGTTTGTGTTCTTGTGTGCTCCTTTGAGGGCAAGGAGTATGTCTTATGCTGAGACTTGGTAGGTGCCCTCTCTAAATGCTTGCTGACTTACTGCTCTTAAGAAGAAAACCTGACTCTGAGATGTGTGTCTTTTGAAAAAGTTTTGCGATTGGTAATAATTCTGTTTCTTATGTGTAATTTGAACTGTTAGTTGAACTTCTCCCTTAAGATTTGTAAGTCACCAAACATCTGGTGAGAGAAGAGTTTCTAGCACAGTTAAGTCTAAACCTGTGGAGCTTTAAATATTATTTTACAATAGATCTGGGCATCTTGTAATGCTGTCCTGAGTATTGAAAAAGACAAAAGATAAAACCAAGTATGCCGCCTAGTTCAGTAAATGGTATTCATAATTATTTGTAACATAATAGTCTTATGAAGGTTAAGAATGCATTAGGAGTATTTCCCTTAATATCGTAAAACATTCTTTGCCATAAGTTTTGCCTTTGGCAGTCTTTTGATACCAGCCTTTACAGTGTTATAAATAACTTTAAAGAGAGTTGTTTTAAAGCCATTGGGAAAATTTTAGTTGACTATGCAGCATTGTGTTGTTTTTTTTTTTTTTTTTTTGAGACAGAGTTTCGCTCTGTTACCCAGGCTGGAGTGCAATTGTGTAATCTCGGCTCACCGCAACCTCCGCCTCCTGGGTTCAGGCAATTCTCCTGCCTCAGCCTCCTGAGTAGCTGGGATTACAGGCATGCACCACCATGCCCAGCTAATTTTTTGTATCTTTAGTAGAGTCGGGGTTTCACTATGTTGACCAAGATGGTCTTGATCTCCTGACCTCGTGATTCACCCGCCTTGGCCTCCCAAAGTGCTGGGATTACAGGCGTGAGCCAAGCATTCTGTTTTTACTCATTATTTAAATGTTAAAATATCTTCTGTGTTTTGATAAATTTAACAGTCTTTAAAAACTGGAGTGAGATATTTGAATGACCAGCTTTAAAATGAAGATAGTCTTTGCAATAATATAGTGCCTTCCTGTGGTATAAATGTCATGAGCAAAGTGCTAGGCATCTTGGTGCTCAACAAGTACTGGTTGAATAATTGGAATCCTCCTCCCTTGCATCTCCAGCCATTCTCACCTTCCTGTCTCCAGTTGCCTTTATTTATGAGAAGGCTATTCCAGTAACATTTCAGCAGTAGTGCCATATTCATAATTTCCTTTTTGATTTGTTGGCTAGAATTTTTCTTGTAGCTTTGTATTCAAAGAAATGCATAACATTTAAAAGATGTTAAATTGTAATAATGAGCTAAAACGTTTGTTATTAGAATTCTTTTACCATTAACATGAATTACTGTTTCTTAACTCCTACGTGTCTTTGGTCCTCTGTACTTCCCTCCCTGGCTTCGGTGATTTCTAGGTTTGTGGTGGTCTGTGGTGATGGGGAGTATATCATCTACACGGCAATGGCATTGAGAAACAAGAGCTTTGGATCTGCTCAGGAGTTTGCATGGGCCCACGATTCCTCAGAGTAAGTTTTGCCTGTGCGATAGCCAGCTTGCCCTGATTGCAGATGTGTTATGTGCTGCTTGAGAGACTCGAGGCTTGATGTTGGCTGTGCTTCTCCTTGTTAAAAAACAGTTCTCACCAGAGCTGTCCACTGTAAGATTAGAGTCAGAGGCAACTATATAGCCTGAGCTGTCTTTGCCCTTTCTTTGTTCTGTGTTGAGCTCGCTCACTCAAGCTGATATAATCCATTCCTATGGGGATCCAGAACCCATTTCGTTGATGAAGCCCATGGCAGGACCTGTTGCTTTATGGGCTTAAGGCACAGTAGACCCTCAAGTCTGCTTTGACAGGCCTTGGCATGCCCTCCCTAACATGTGGTGTCCTGAGGTGCTACTGCCCCTTTATAAGCTACTTGGGAGGGATGCTGTGATTTGATCATTTTGATGAGAAATTTATTAAAACTTATTTTCTGTGATTGTTCCCGCTGCCTGTTCTTAACTAATTTCTGTCTGAATCCAGAGTGTTCGTAAAATGTTCTCATTAAAAGCAGGAAAGATGGTTTAACTCTGGCTTTTTTACTAGTCGTTGGCTCTGGTTCCTTTCTTTATCCCTGTTTAATGCATGTAATAAACATTAGGGGTTTGGTGTTTTCAGAGCACACAACTGAATTACATCTTCACAGTTTTTTTTAGTTTTGTTTGCCCCACATTTTATGTTTCATCTTGCCCCCAACAGTGGGGTAACTTAAGCCTCAGCACTGCAAAAGAAGATACATTCTAAAAAATGTTATAACAGTAATTGATTGAGAGGTATGGAATTGTTCTGATCTTTTCATGAATTTCCTAAATACACTTATACACATATAGTTCTGTGTATTCAAAAGTACTTTTATCTTAAGCAAAGTTACAGTTTATGAATTGCTTTCTCTCACCAAGAAAGCAATTTTGATAGTTCCCTTTTTTCAGCTTTATCCAGCTAAGACCTTGCTCAGCATCTTTCCTGTTCTGAGCAAAGCTCTCATCACATCACTTCCTCACACAATCTCAAATATCCAGTGATAGCCACAGCCCCTTTTTTCAAGGCAGAGGCCTGAAAATAATCAGTTTCCTAGGTTGTTGCTGAGTATGACTGACTAATGAGCCATTTGTCACAGTTGTTATTATTTAAGTCACCCTTATTGAGGTATAATTTACTGAAGACAGAATGTACCATTTAATTGTACAGTGGTCCCCCCATCTGTGGTTTCCCTTCCTGCAGTTTTAGTTACCCACAGTCAACTGTGTTCCAAAAATATTAAGTGAAAAAGTCCACAAATAAACAACTCATAAGTTTTAACTTGCCCAGTGTTCTGAGTCGCGTGATGAAATCTTGAGCCATCCCACCTGGGACATGAATCATCCCCTTGTCTAGCATATCTATATTGTATATGCTACCCATCTCTTACATTATAGGAAAAAACGTAGTGTATATAGGATTCACTACTATCTGAAGTTTCAGGTATCCATTGGGGCTTAGAACATATCCCCCATGGATAAGGGAGGACTGCTGGTCATGTCAGTAGATTTGGGCAAATGTATGTAATCCATAACCACCAACAGAGTCAAATGAACATTTCTGTCATCCACCCAAAATCCCCTTGTCTCCAGTAACAGTCAGCCACAACCCCCTACCCACCCATTCCCCAGTACCATCAAACCAGTCTGCCTTTTGTCACTGTATAGATTAGATTTGTCTTTAGAGTTTCATATAAATGGAATCATACAGTATGCACTCTTGTGTCTAGCATCTTTTGTTCATATAATGTTTTTGAGATTCATCCATATTCTTCCCTGAATTAGTAATGTGTTTCTTTATTTGCAGAGTAGTATTTCAGTGTATGAAAACACCATAATTTGTTTAATCATTCAACTATTGTGGACATTTGGGTCATTTTCAGTTTCTAAAATGGTTTGTAAGCCCTAGTAATTCATGTCATACACAGTGTTAAATCATTTCTCCAACTGTAAGGAGTTCTCTGATCTCTTAGGAAAACAGTACATCAGAGAATCTTCAAATACTATTTTATATTTTTGCATAATTACTGAAAAAATTTGAAGATATTTTCAATATTTGGTGGAATTATGATTTAGTATATAATATGTTACATTTGCCTTCCCTTTTTTCTCCCAGGTATGCAATAAGAGAGAGCAACAGTGTTGTAAAGATATTTAAGAACTTTAAGGAAAAAAAATCATTTAAACCAGATTTTGGAGCAGAAAGTGAGTGTGGTCTACATATGATACATATTTAGATGCTTTTTAATGTCTCAAAAATGCCTAAGCAAAGCTCTTTTTATGTTCCCTTTAGGTATCTATGGAGGCTTCTTATTGGGAGTCAGATCTGTAAATGGCTTAGCCTTCTATGACTGGGACAATACAGAACTCATAAGAAGAATTGAAATTCAGCCCAAACATGTGAGTTTCCCCTCCATTGTTGTTTCTGGAATATTTTTGTGATGAGTTCTGGGTCCCTAAGGCCAAGAAGTGTCTTTTGTACTCTGCTGTCCCTCTTCCATTGTCAAAAGACATTTAAAATATAAAACAGCACTTAGAATTTGTATAACTTTTTGTACTTTTGAAATACACAATGTCTACTGCCTCATTAGGATACCACAATCCTGATTTTCTGAGCAATTGAAGGTAAGTGGGAGTGCCATTTTGACAGAAGGAAAAAACATGCTTTGAGAACAGGAAGTCAGAGAATTCTTGACTTGGAAAGGCCTTCTTCCACATAGTTCAGAAAACCTTTTCATATGTTTTGATAATAGCTGCTTGAACTTGAGGTGACCATCTTCAGTGACAAAGTGTTTACATTTAGAACTGCCCACTGCTTTGACAGTTTTCACTGTCAGGAGATTATCTTTGGAAACCAACCAGCTGTCCTCGGGTCTGGGTTCTAGAGCATGCATTCTTTTTTTTTTTTTTTTTAATTGTACTTTAGGTTCTGGGGTATGTGTGCAGATCATTCAGGATTGTTGCATAGGTACACACATGGCAATGTGGTTTGCTGCCTCCATACCCCTGTCACCTACATCTGGCATTTTTCCCCATGTTATCCCTCCCCGACCTCCCAACCCCACACTATCCCTCCCTTGGCCCCCACCCAACAGACCCCAGTGTGTGATGCTCCCCTCCCTGTGTCCATGTGTTCTCATTATTTAACACTCGCCTATGAGTGAGAACATGCAGTGTTTGATTTTCTGTTCTTGTGTTAGTTTGCTGAGAATGATGGTTTCCAGATTCATCCATGTCCCTACAAAGGACACAAACTCATCATTTTTTATGGCTGCATAGTATTCCATGGTGTACATGTGCCACATTTTCCTTGTCCATTCTATCATCGATGGGCATTTGGATTGGTTCCAAGTCTTTGCTATTGTAAACAGTGCTGCTATGAACATATGTGTGCATGTCTCTTTATAACAGAATGGTTTATAATCCTTTGGGTATATTATCCAGTAATGGGATTGCTGGGTCAAATGGAATTTCTATTTCTAGGTCCTTGAGGAAGTGCCACACTGTCTTCCACAATGGTTGAACTAATTTACACTCCCACCAACAGTGTAAAAGTGTTCCTATTTCTCCACATCCTCTCCAGCATCTGTTGTCTCCAGATTTTTTAATAATTGCCATTCTAACTGGTGTGAAATAGTATCTCAATGTGGTTTTGATTTGCATTTCTCTAATAATCAGTGATGATGAGCATTTTTTTATGTGTTTGTTGGCCTCATATATGTCTTCTTTTGCAAAGTGTTCATATCCTTCACCCACTTTTGGATGGGTTTTTTTTTTTCTTGTAAATCTGTTTTGGTTCTTTGTAGATTCTGGATATTAGCTTTGTCAGATGGTAGATTGCAAAAATTTTTTCCCATTCTGTTGGTTGCTGGTTCACTCTAATGATTGTTTCTTTTGCTGTACAGAAGCTCTGGAGTTTAATTAGGTCCCATTTGTCTATTTTAGCTTTTGTTGCCAATGCTTTTGGTGTGTTAGTCATGAAATCCTTGCCTATGCCTATGTCCTGAATGGTTTTGCCTAGATTTTCTTCTAGGGTTTTTGTGGTGTTAGGTCTTATGTTTAAGTCTTTAATCCATCTGGAGTTAATTTTAGTGTAAGGTGTCAGGAAGGGGTCCAGTTCCTGCTTTCTGTACATGGCTAGCCAGTTTTCCCAACACCATTTATTAAACAGGAAATCCTTTCCCCATTGCTTGTTTTTGTCTGGTTTGTCAAAGATCAGATGGTTGTAGATGTGTGGTGTTGCCTCCAGGGCCTCTGTCTGTTCCAATGGCCTATATCTCTGTTTTGGTACCAGTACCATGCTGTTTTGATTACTGTAGCCTTGTAGTATAGTTTGAAATCAGGTAGCCTGATGCCTCCAGCTTTGTTCTTTTTGCTTAGGATTGTCTTGGCTCCGCAGGCTCTCTTTTGGTTTCATATGAAATTTAAGGTGGTTTTCTCCAGTTCTGTGAAGAAGGTCATTGGTAGCTTGATGGTGATCGCGTTGAATCTATAAATTACTTTGGGCAGTATGGCCATTTTCACAATAGTGATTCTTCCTAACCATGAGCATGGAATGTTTCTCCATCTGTTTGTGTCCTCTCTTTCTTCCTTGAGCAGTGGTTTGTAGTTCTCCTTGAAGAGGTCCTTTACATCCTTTGTTAGTTGTATTCCTAGGTATTTTATTCTCTTTGTAGCAATTGTGAATTGGAGTTTGCTCATGATTTGGCTTTCTGTTAGTCTGTTATTGGTGTATAAAAATATTTGTGATTTCTGCACATTTATTTTGTATCCTGAGACTTTGCTGAAGTTGCTTATCAGTTTAAGGAGATTTTGGGCTGAGATGATAGGGTCTTCTAAATATACAATCATATCATCTGCAAATAGAGACAATTTGACTTCTTCTTTTCCTAATTGAATACCCATTATTTTTTTTTCTTGCCTACTTGCTCTGGCTAGAACTTCCAATACTATATTGAATAGGAGTGGTGAGAGGGCATCCTTGTCTAGTGCCGGATTTCAAAGGGAATGCTTCCACCTTTTGCCCATTCAGTGTGATATTGGCTGTAGGTTTGTCGTAAATAGCTTTTATTGTTTTGAGATACATTCCTTTGATAGCTAGTTTATTGAGAGTTTTTAGCATAAAGGGCTGCTGAATTTTGTCGAAAGCCTTCTCTGCATCTATTGAGATAATCGTGTGGTTTTTATCTTTGGTTCTGTTTATGTGGTAAATTATGTTTATAGAGTTGCGTATGTTGAACCAGCCTTGCATCCCTGGAATGAAGCCTACTTGATCGTGATGGATAAGCTTTTTGATATGCTGTTGCAATCGGTTTGCCAGTATTTTATTGAAGATTTTTGCATCTGTGTTCATCATGGATATTGGCCTGAAGTTTTCTTTCCTTGTTGAGTCTCTGCTGTGTTTTGGTATCAGGATGATGTTGGTCTCATAAAATGATTTGGGAAGGGTTCCCTCTTTTTGGATTGTTTGGAATAGTTTTAGAAGGAATTGTACCAGCTCCTCTTTGTATGTCTGGAAGAATTCAGCTGTGAACCTGTCTGGACCTGGACTTTTTTTGGTTGGTAGGCTCTTAATTGCTGCCTCAACTTCAGCCCTCGTTATTGGTCTGTTCAAGGTTTCAACTTCTTCCCAGTTTAGGCTTGGGAGGGTGCAGGTGTCCAGGAATTTATCCATTTCTTCCAGGTTTACTGGTTTATGTGCATGGAGTTGTTTGTAGTAATCTCTGATTGTAGTTTGTATTTCTGTGGAATCAGTGGTGATATCCCCTTTATTGTTTTTATTGCATCTATTTTATTCTTCTCCCTTTTCTTTTTTATTTATCTGGCTAGTGGTCTATTTTGTTGATCTTTTCAGAAAACCAGCTCCTGGATTTATTGACTTTTTTTTTGAAGGGTTTTTTATGTCTCTATCTCCTTCAGTTCTGCTCTGATCTTAGTTACTGCTTGTCTTCTGCTAGCTTTTGAGTTTTTTTGATCTTGCTCCTCTTGGCTCTTTCTATTTTGACAATAGGGTGTCGATTTTAGATATTTCCTTGTTTTTCATGTGGGCATTTATTGCTATAAATTTTGCTCTAGACACTGCTTTAATGTGTCCCAGAGATTCTGGTACATTCTGTCTTCGTTTTTGTTGGTTTCAAAGAACATCCTTATTTCTGCCTTCATTTCATTGTTTATCTAGTCAACACTCAAGAGCCAGTTGTTCCGTTTCCATGAAGCTGTGTGGTTCTGAGTTAGTTTCTTAATTCTGAGTTCTAATTTCATTGCCCTGTGGTTTGAGAAACTGTTTGTTATGATTTCTGTTCTTTTGCATTTGTGGAGGAGTGATTTACTTCCAATTATGTGGTCAGTTTTAGAGTAGATGCAATGTGGTGCTGAGACGAATGTATATTCTGTGGATTTGGGGTGGAGAGTTCTGTAGATGTCTATTAGCTCTACTTGGTGCAGATCTGAGTTCAAGTTCTGGATAACCTTGTTAATTTTCTGTCTTATTGATCTAATATTGACAGTGGAGTGTTAAAGTCTCCCACTATTGCGTGGGAGTCTAAGTCTCTTTGTAAGTTGTTAAGAAATTGTTTTATGTACCTGGGTGCTCCTGTATTGGGTGTGTATATATTTAGGATCATTAGCTCCTCTTGATGCATTGATCCTTTTACCATTATGTAATGCCCTTCTTTGTCTCTTTTGATCTTTGTTGGTTTAAAGACCATTTTATCAGAGACTAGAATTGCAACTGCTGCTTTGTTTTGCTCTCCATTTGCTTGATAAATCTTCCTCCATCCCTTTATTTTGAGCCTATGTATGTCCTTGCACGTGAGATGGGTTTCCTGCATACAGCACACTGATGAGGTCTTGATTTTTTATCCAATTTGTCAGTCTGTGTCTTTCAATTGGGGCATTTAGCCGATTTACATTTAGGGTTAATATCATTATGTGTGAATTTGATCCTGCCATTTTGATGCTAGCTTGATGTTTTGCCTGTTGATGCAGTTTTTTCATTGTGTCGATGGTCTTGACCATTTATTATGTTTTTGGAGTGGCTGATACTGGTTGTTCCTTTGCTTGTTTAGTGCTTCTTTCAGGAGCTCTTGTAAGGCAGGCCTGGAGATGATGAAATCTCTCAGTAATTGCTTGTCCATAAAGGCTTTTCTTTTTCCTTTGTTTATGAAGCTTAGTTTGGCTGGATATGAAATTTTAGGTTGTAAGTTCTTTTCTTTAAGGTTATTGAATATTGGCCCCCACTCTCTTCTGGCTTGTAGGTTTTCTGCTGAGAGATCTCCTATGAGTCTGATGGGCTTCCCTTTGTGGGTAATCTGATCTTTTTCTCTGGCTGCCCTTAGCATTTTTTCCTTCATTTCAACTCTGGTAATCTGACAATTATGTGCCTTGGGGTTGCTCTTCTTGAGGAATATCTTTGTGGTGTTCTCTGTATTTCCTGGACTTGAATGGTGGCCTGGCTTTCTAGGTTGGGGAAGTTCTCCTGGATAATATCCTGAAGAGTGTTTTCCAGCTTGGATTCATTCTCTCCATCATATTCAGGTACAGTTATCAAACGTAGATTAGGTCTTTTCACATAATCCCCTATTTCTTGGAGGCTTTATTCATTTCTTCTCACTCTTTTTTCTCTATTCTTGCCTTCTTATTTTATTTCATTGAGTTGATCTTCAATCTCTGATATCCTTTCTTCTGCTTGGTCGATTTGGCTATTGAAACTTGTGTATGCTTCACAAAGTTCTCATGCTGTGTTCTTCAGCTCCATCAAGTTGTTTATATTCTTCTCTAAGCTGTTTATTCTAGTTAGCATCTCATCTAACCTTTTTTCTAGGTTCTTCGTTTCTTTGCATTGGGTTAGCACATGTTCTTTTAGCTCTGAGAAGTTTGTTATTACCCACCTTCTGAAGCCTGTTTCTGTCAACTTATCAGATTCATTCTCCATCCATCTTTGATCCATAGCTGGTGAGGAGTTGTGATCTTTGGAGGAGGAGAGGCTTTCTTCTTTCTGGTGTTTTCATCCTTTTTGTGCTGGTTTCTTCCCATCTTAGTGGCTTTATCTACCTGTGGTCTTTGTAGTTGGTGACTTTCAGATGGGGTCTCTGAGTGGATGTCCTTTTTGTTGATGGTGAAGTTATTTATTTCTTAGTTTTCCTTCTAACAGTCAGGCCCCTCTGCTGCAGGACTGCTGGAGGTCCTCTCCACACCTTGCTTGCCTGGGAATCACCCACAGGGTCTGCATAACAGTACGAGTTGCTGCCAGTTTCTTCTGTTATCTTCATCCCAGAAGGGTACCTGCCAGATGTCGGCCTGAGCTCTCCTTTATGAAGTATCTCTTTGGGTATACTGGGGTCAGGGAACTGCTTGAGGAGACAGTCTGTCCCTTAGAAGAGCTCAGGTGCTGTGCTGGGAGCTCTGTTGTTCTGTGCAGAGCTGCTGGGCAGTTACTTTTAAGTCTGCTGCAGTGGAACTCATAACCACCTCTTTTGGCAGGTGCTCTGTCCTAGGAAGGTTGGCTTTATTTATAAGTTCCTGTCTTGCTGCTGCCTTTTTTCATAGATGCCCTGCCCTGCACAGAGTAGTCTAGTCACAGTCTGCCAGAAGAGGCATTGCTGAGCTGCTGCAGGCTCTGCCCAGCTGCTGTGTGAACTGCCTCAGTAGTGGTGGTCGCCCTTCCCCACTGAGCTGGACCGTCCTGGGTCCAGCTGCACTTGCTGTGAAACTCTCAGTGCAGAGCATTTCAGATTGCTTGTTGGTGTGGGAGTGGTACCTGCCAAGCCAGATCACCTAGCTACCTGTCTCTCTGCCCCCTCCCTTTAAGTTGAATGGGTGGCTCTGTCTCCCAGGTGTTCCAGGTGCCAGTTGAAATGGCTGTCCAGATTTGTGTGAGTTTCTGTGCACCACGCTGGCACCAGCTGAAACTGCCATGCTGAAAACTTGTGGCACTTTTCGGCCCGGGAATCTCCTGGTCTATGGGCAGTGAAAATGTATTTGGAAATGCAGTGGCACTCACCCTCTGTGTTGTTCCTACTGGGAACTACTCTCCAAAGCTGTTCCTGTTCGGCCATCTTGGATCCCCAAGCATGCATTCGTAATGGGTATAAAAATTGGCTTGGGGGTCTTTTATAAATACAGCATAGCTATACATATGTATATTCATTACATATGTATATTCATTACATATGTATAAACATATACACTGTATATGTGGTATTAAAATTTCACTGGGGGAGGTGATTAGAAAAATGTCCAGAAAGACTTCTAGGGAGGGTGAGTGAAAATAAAAAAAAAAGAAAAAAGGTGATAAACACTGTTCTAGAGCAATCGGAAATAGGCTACTGGTCCTCTAAATTGTAGCACATTAAGTGTTTACTGACAGCTCTCCTTTCCTGTCTCCTTTTGGTCTTTCCATTGCTAGGCTAAATAGCATAGCTCTGCCCTGGCCACCCTCCCAAATAATACCACATAAAATTGTTAAGTGAATACTTATTATCTTGATATAAGAAGATAAATGTTGTTAGAAACCAAGTATGTGCAGTTTGTCATCTCCACTCGGAAATCCAAATCAGTTGTCTATGATTTTGTTGTGTTGCAGATTTTCTGGTCTGACTCTGGAGAGCTAGTCTGTATTGCTACTGAGGAATCATTTTTTATCCTTAAGTATCTATCGGAAAAAGTCTTGGCTGCACAGGAAACACATGAGGGAGTTACTGAAGATGGCATTGAAGATGCCTTTGAGGTAATTACATCAGCACAACTTTTGCTTTTAGCTTTGTTTTTAAATGATTTATAGTCTTAAAACAGACTTTACTGATTTTAACATTTCGTTATAAATTAGGTTTGGGGATACAGCATTTAAGGGTTTCTGGTGAAATGTGAAAATTAATATCTTGACTCATAGATCAAAATTTGAAAATAAATATGTTTAAAAGAAAATTGTGCTTTGATTTTAAGAATTCTTTAGACTTACTTTGATATCTTTCAGTAAGGAAATTTTAGTTGTTTTGGTCCTAAGACTATTTAGCCAGTGATTTAAATGAGCTCCCAAATGGTAAATTATTCATTGTGCAGATGTCGCAGATTTTGTGAAATATTTAATATTTCATTTTCATGTTATGAAGGGTCTAAGTTTAGATCAGTATTCTTTTAGACCATGGTTTTGACCCAACAATGAGAGTTCATATTACTAATCTAGGAATCCGTTCTTTTTTTTTTTTCTTTTTTGCGCCTAAGAGTTAAATTGGGTAGGAATCTGTTCTCAAATGAAGAAAGAGATTCCAGCCAGGCACAATGGCTCACATCTCTAATCCTAGCACGTTGGGAGGACAAGGCAGGTGAATCACTTGAGGTCAGGAGTTTGAGACCAGCCTGGCCAACATGGTGAAACCCCATCTCTACTAAAAACATAAAAATTAGCTGGTCGTGATGGCGGGAGCCTGCAATCCCAGCTACTTGGGAGGCTGAAGCACAAGAATCACTTGAATCCAGGAGGCGGAGCTTAGCAATGAACAGAAGTTATGCCACCATACTCCAGTACTCCAGCCTGGGCAACAGAGACTCCATCTTGGGGGCGGAGGGGAGAAAAGGAAAAATTTTCTTTCTAGAAATAGGAAGGATTTTACTTTGCATTTTTTATTCTACCATATCACCCTCAAATGTATTCAGCTTTTTATTGAGAAATTTCTAATGTCAAATAAAGTAATTATTGTCTTTCTTTCTGCAGGTTCTTGGTGAGATTCAGGAAATTGTGAAAACAGGGCTTTGGGTAGGCGATTGCTTCATTTACACAAGTTCTGTGAACAGATTAAATTATTATGTTGGAGGAGAAATAGTCACCATTGCCCACTTGGACAGGTAGCTGAGTTTCATTTTCCATTTGTCCTAAATTTTAAAGTGTGTTTTTTAAGCAAAATATGTTGCTGGCTTGTAGCAATGACAGGCTGATTTTTCAGTATTATAGCTTTGTAGGTTGCCTATTAACCAAAATTGTATTAATCAAATGGGAAGGTTTTGAGCAAGAGACAGTTTGCAGGGGTATGTGTTTGTGTAACTGCAGATTTGAACTTCTAACTTGGTTTCTGTTTCTATAATAGGACAATGTATCTCCTAGGCTACATTCCTAAAGACAACAGGCTTTATCTGGGGGATAAAGAATTGAACATTGTTAGCTATTCCCTGCTAGTTTCAGTCCTGGAATACCAGACAGCCGTCATGCGGAGGGACTTTAGCATGGCTGATAAGGTCCTTCCTACCATTCCAAAAGAACAGAGGACCAGAGTTGCACACTTTTTGGAAAAGCAGGTAAGAGGTTTTGTTTTGTTTTGTTTTTTCTTTTTGTGTTTTTAAAACTAGCAGTTTGAAAGCAAATTAGTATGGATTTGAAAAATGTTATTTCTTAATTGCCAACTGATTTCCTGTGGCAATGGAATTTCTCCTGTGAGTTTAAGGCACTTGTTACAGCATGTCATACACCCTTCATACATTCTTCCTTCTCCTTTCTCAGGGCCCCCTTTAAATGCTGGAGGTGACTTCAGTCCTCTTCTGTGCACCTCTTTTCCAGTGTCCTGATATTTTCATTTCTACATTGCATTTTTCTCTTTATCCCATCTACTTTTTAAAAAAATAGTGATTAAAATACATATAGCATGAAATGTACCATTAGTGGCATGCCTTTTTCTTAATGTAGTGTTTTTTAAGCAAATTTACAAATGTATAAAGCATAAAATAAGTTTTGCAAGGTTTAAGAAAAACAGCCCTCCCTCCTTTTTCCTTCCTAATCCCTTGAGGTAATTATTTTATCTGATTCTTTTGGTATTTACTTCCATATCTCTAAATAACATGTAATATAGCAGTTTCTTCATTTCTTAGCTTTAGGCATTTCTTGTGACTTCCCCCTCGGTAGATGAGGATTTCACTTTCTTTCATTCCCCCGTGTCTACCACATACATACCACTTTCCTATCCTTATCCTCTCAGAATAGTTCTAATGTTGATTGATCAGTACTCAAATGTTTACATTATGGCTATGTAATCACTGCTCACAGGTGAACCATGAAGCATATTATATCTAGCTTTCCTTTCCTGAAATTGCTTGTTATCCTTAGAGTTTACAATTGTCTTTTTCCCCACTTTGCTAAATTTTCTATGCACCTGTGGTTAATCCTCCCTGGACTTTGCTGCTTCTTCAGATGTCCTGAAGATCTCCTTTCAGTTTCTTTCGACTCCTTCAGATTTCCGGCTATCTTCATGGATTTCCCTTCACCATCATGTTGGGGCTTCTTTTGCCTCTCTCCTGTTTGATCCATTGTTTTCTTATACCCCTATCTCCCTTCCTGCTTTGCTCCCTCATTTTGGGGGAGCATGCCCTTCAGCAGTTTCCTGAGAAAAGGTTGTTAATGGGAGATAAATTGTTCTGTGACTTTGAATAAAGTACCATTGTTCTACTCTAAAACATATTTGACCAGTTAACTGGTATAGAACTTTGTTACAGGAAATTTTCTCTCAGAATTTTGAAGGCATTGTTCCTTTGCCTTGTAGTTATTGTTGAAGTCTAAAGCCATTTTTATCCTTCATTCTTAGTACATGACCTGGTTTTTCTCTGTGGAAACTTTCTGAATGTTGTCTCTGTTGTACTGAAATGTTATAATCATGGTGGGCCTTGGTAGGAATCAACTTTCATTCATTCTGCCAGTTATTAGGTGAGCTTTTTTAATGGGAAACTCATGTCCTACATTTCTGAAAGATTTTCATGTATCTATGGAATTTCCTTCCTTTGTTTTCTGTATTCTCTCTTTCTGGAACTATTATTCAAATCTTGGATGTCCTGCACTGATATTCTTAATCTCTTTTAAAATCTTATTGTTAATAGATAAGTTTCTCATCTCTCTACAGATATGAATATTTTTGTTTTCAGATTTTGAAGTTTTCTCTTCCCCCTATATGGTACACTTCCTTTCAAGTTCCTTTTATTGCTTCATTTTGATCTCCATCTTTTCTCTTAGTGATTTTCCTCAAGTATCTGATGTCCTTGGGCCCTCATTTAAGAGTGAAGGCCCAAGCAGCAGATCAGAAGGTCTGAATTTGTGGGTGGGCATATTGAGTTTGGACTTCACGACATCTGGTTGGCCCATTTGATTAGGGAGTCTCAGTGTCAGTATCTTTAGCCAATGAAGTTTTGATGACTTTACATTTATGTAATGAACTTAACAAGCACGTAAACAGTGTTGCTAAGCACTGTTCCTGCTGACATGTAGCCCTCATGGAGTTGACATTTTAGTATTTTTAAGTCTTTTCCCTTGGGCTCAGTATATTTTACTGAAAAGCTCCCCAATCACCATCATTCTGGGATCTCAGTAGAAGATAGCTTGGAGTGTCAGTATTTCATATTTCATTCAGTCTGTGTATCCATTTTCATAATCTTTTGTTTTCCTTTGATACTCCCATACTTCTTCCTTCAAGCATGCTTGGAATCTCCTAGTCTAGAGACCCTTTAGTTTGCCCTCTTCAAAGAATAAACCTGTCGTCTTTGTTTGTCAAAAGGTGGGAGAGGGAGTGGATCTAGAGTCTCTAAATGCCTTAGGGCACTTTGTTTTTAGCACTACCATTTATGAGACACACTGGGTGTAAATCGGATTGTTTCTATGCTGTTCTCACTCCTGATTCAGGGTTTGTTTTCTCTGCTGTTTTAACAGAATGCTTCTATTCATCTGCCAGCTTTCTAGCTTCTAAACTTTTGTTACTGTTTCCTCTCCTTTTCTGCGTGTCCTTGGGAGTTCATCCCTTAAAATACATATATGTGCTAGTGAAGAAAAGTAACTCCAGTTACTTAGAATGCCTTATTTACATTGTATTCATGGATGTATAGGGGCAGAGTGGCAGCCTGTATAAGCTGAGAAGTTAAAACATTTCAAACTTGACGATAAAGCCATTCTGAAAATACAGCCAGACAGAACCCAAGTTGTCCAGCTTCTCAATATTGACTATCCTGTAACTGAACATTGTCCCTAAGTCTGGTGAAGAGGTAAATTAGCCCTGAACTTTTTGTCTAACACATTACATACCGAGAGCTGAAAATATTGCCCAAAGGGCAGACCCCATCAGTACTGTTTGTCTTGGAGGAGAAGCTAGTTTAATAATTTCAGTAGCTGATTTAAAACAGTGGTCCCCAACCTTTCTGGCACCAGCGACCAGTTTCGTGAAGACAGACAATTTTTCCACAGATGGGAGGGAGTGCGTTTCAGGATGAAACTGTTTCACCTCAGATCATCAAGTATTCAAGTGTCATGGAGCTCATAACCTAGATCCATCATATGCACAGTTCACAATAGAGTTCACTTTCCTTTGAGAATCTAATGCCATCACAGATCTGACGGGAGGCAGAGCTTAGGCGGTAATGCTTGCTAGCTAACCCACCCACCCAGTGCTTACCTTCTGCTTTGGGGCCTGATTCCTAACAGGCCACAGACCGGTTGGGAGACCCCTGGTTTAAAAGCTTGTTCTTAATGCCTTAATGGAGCATGGGAAGGAAATTTTAGACTTTCTGTCTTTTGGATACTTGCTAATCAACTGGACTTGAGACCAACAATAAAGGAATAGGTAATGACACCTGATCAGTGACAGGACCTGAATATACAGTGTTTGCTATGACCTACAGATGATAGAAAATTGAAAGGTTTTATATTTGACTTCCTTTCTTTGCCCATTTACTGCTAATAGTCTCATCTGCAAAAAGGCATTGAACTAGATGCTTTACATCCCAGCCTAGTTGAGTAGATTACCAACAGCTAAGTTTACACTGCTGTGCCTAGTTTTGTTCTTTTGAAATGATTGAGTCAGCTTTGCAAAATTCCTTCCTTTTTGACACATCTGTTTATATTTACATTTCCAGTTTTAAGTTACTTGAGTTTAGCATTGGCCAGCTTCCATTAGCCTAAAAAAATAGTAAGAATTCTTTCACTGAATATTTTGTCTGCTGGGTTTGTTCTTAGCAAACTCCTTAATTTTTCTTTCTTCTCATTAAATAGTGGGGTTTCTAGTTCGAGAGGGAAATGATTTGCTCTGTGGATGGTGCACACTGTAAATATATACAAAAAACATACATACATTTTTGTATGCATAGATTACATAGATATTTATATATAATTTTTAAAAATCTGTTTAGGGCTTCAAGCAGCAAGCTCTTACGGTATCCACAGATCCTGAGCATCGTTTCGAGCTTGCTCTTCAGCTTGGAGAGTTAAAAATTGCATACCAGTTAGCAGTGGAAGCAGAGGTATGTACTAATTCATGATTTTTCATAACTGATGGAAAAGTCAGTAGGTACTTGTATGTGTTTGGTGTAATATATTGTTATTACAGTTTTCCGAAATGCAAATTAGTGGCTCATTTTCATGAAGTTATTGTCTTTGATCTTTTTAAAAGATATGTTAAACTTTGCATAAGTTAAATTGATTACATTGGAGATATTCTTAGCACTGTAAGAAAAATTGTTTTCATATCTTATGTGAGATCTATTTTGCAATATAAGCAAAGATGTGAAACAGTATGTAAACTAGGAAGTCTTAAGAGTACAGACATAGCAGTAATTTGCCAGTGTCTCAAACTGGCTGGAAAGATTCTGGTTTTAAAAAGGGGTTTTGAAAGACAACCCAACCCTTTTGTCTTTTGGTGTTGAGTAGAGCAGGCAGGCAGAGGACAGTGCTGCTTTGGTGGCACTCACCTTTAGCAAGGGATGCTCTTAGCACATCTGGTCTAAATGTTTGAGCTAAATGGGCTGTTCAGGGAGTCTCAAGTGGGAGAAATGTTAATACCATTTTTCTAATGATATTTTTACAGATCATTGTATATTGAGGCTCCCAGTTGTTGTTTAAGAGTAGCATTTACTGGTAAATTAATTTTAGATGTGCAAAATAAATTTTAGCTATGTTAAGATCATCTAAACATGCAGCATTTTGAGTTCTGAAAAGCTACAAGTGAAACATATTACTGTGAAATATTTAAGGACATAGACAGTTTGGTACATTTTTAAAAAGTAGTATTAAATCACTTGTTAAAATAATTGAAATATAATTACTTTAAAATGCCAGTGAGATGGTTTTACTTTCCCAGTGTAATTATAAGATAAAACTATAATGAGTTGATAATTATTCACACATCATTAAAATTGATTTGTGTTTAAATTCATTTTGTATACATGAATAATTTCCATTTCCTCATTGTACATTTTGTAATGCCGTTCTTATTTTGATTGCTAGAGCCAACAAGCACAGCTCTCTCTATATATAAATATCTTCTATTGTCAGCACAGTTAACAGAATAATGTTGGAAGTGTAAATGCTTATTTCCAAATATGTTTTGACTTGGAAACTTTTCTTACAGTCAGAACAGAAGTGGAAACAACTTGCTGAACTTGCCATTAGTAAATGTCAGTTTGGCTTAGCCCAGGAGTGCCTGCACCATGCACAGGATTATGGGGGTCTGCTGCTTTTGGCCACTGCCTCTGGAAATGCTAGTATGGTGAACAAGCTAGCAGAGGGTGCGGAGAGAGATGGCAAAAATAATGTGGCATTCATGAGCTACTTTTTACAGGGCAAGTGAGTATTAATTTAAAATGTTAATTAATTCTACACTAAGGATGGTTTTTGGAGAGGGATGCAAAGAATGTACCCTGGAGAGACCTGATGGATGGCCAAATGGTGTTGAATAAAGCAGGCAGACAGAGGACAATGTTGACTGCCTGTCAGTGCAGCAGCCTTGGTGGTACTCACCTTCAGCAAGGGATGCTCTTAGCACATCTGGTCTAAATATTTGAGTGAAATGAGCGGTTCAGGGAGGCTCAAGTGGGAGAAATATTAAACATTTCTCTCAACGGCCCTGCCAGTTAATGGCAGAGGCATTTTACTTTATGATTGCAGGAGGCTATTGAGCTGCTCTAGTGGGTACCTGAAAGGTGATTTTACCCAAATTGGATAATTTTGATCTATTTATGACAAGAACAGAAGGGGTAAGTATGCCAGTTACTTTTAGATTTGAGCCTACTATTTTATAGTAAAGATGTCACATATTTTTAAGTCTAACAGCATAAACCAAATCATATAGACATTAGTAGGCGGTATTATGCAATAAAACACAAAAGTATTTAAAAAAAAAAAACAAAAAGGGAGTCTCACTCTGTCACCCAGGCTAGAGTGCAGTGGCAATTTCAGCTAATTGCAGCCTCCGTCTCCTGGATTCAAGCCATTCTCCTGTAGCTGGGATTACAGGTCTGCACCACCACACCTGGCTTAATTTTTGTATTTTTAGTAGAGACGAGGTCTCCCCATGTTACCTAGGCTGGTCTCAAACTCCTGACCTCAAATGATCCACCTGCCTCGTCCTCCCAGAGTGCTGGGATTACAGGCATGAGCCCCCACGCCTGACCCAAAAGTATTCTTTAACCTTGCCCTGCGTACTGATTTATTTTTTTTTTTTACAATTCCATATTTCATCATAAAACTTTGAATGTATTTATATACCTGTAAGAATAGACCCACTATTCCTTATCTGTAATTCAAAAATCCAAAAATATTCTGAAAATGGTTTTTTATAACTGTTTTGATGGCAAACCTGGGCTGAACTCTGTCGTACTATTTTAGTTGCTTTTATACCAACTTGGTGCACTTTTATTGCATTTAACATTCCTCTGTAAGTTATTGCAGTATTGTTTGTGGCTTTTATTTCTCGCTGAGGATGTTAGGTAATCCATAGTACACATACTGTATCACTTTTCGAAAATCCAAAAATTTCTAAATTCTGAAACACATTGTCCACTTCATAAAACTTGCACAGAAAAAAAAATGAAATTAAAAGAAAAAATAAGACATTTTGATATTCTGCTGGGCACCACTGGCTTGTCTGGCCTTTCCCATGTTGGAGACACTGCCCTAGGAACTGAATTTCTGCTGGCATATGTCCTGATGCCTTTAAAATTTGCTAATCATCTGCCTTAACTCCTCTTGAAAAGCCCCTTTAGGTTCTTAGGAATTATTAAAATTAAGTAGATTCAAAGTGGTCAGGAAAGCTGTCATATCCCTTGTACCCTTGGAGTGTGTTATGTAACAACCATTAAAAGACAAGTAACAGAAATGTGATGTGTGTAAAGATTGGGGAGATTTTTGGCTTTGCAACACTAAATTTACTTTTCTCTATGTTAAGTACTATTATCATAGTGTTTATTCTTGGTAACAGTACCTCTCCTTTATGTTTAGGGTTGATGCCTGCCTAGAGCTCTTGATTAGAACTGGACGGCTGCCAGAAGCTGCCTTCCTGGCCCGAACTTACCTACCCAGTCAGGTTTCAAGGTACAGAATTTTAATTTTAGGAAGAAATGATTCCAATAAAAAGAGCACACTTAACTTAGTCTTTTTGGTTCCCTGATGTAGGGTAGTGAAACTCTGGAGAGAGAATCTCTCAAAAGTCAATCAGAAAGCAGCAGAATCCCTTGCTGACCCAACAGAGTATGAAAACCTGTTCCCTGGATTAAAAGAAGCCTTTGTTGTTGAAGAATGGGTGAAGGAAACACATGCTGATCTGTGGCCAGCCAAACAATACCCACTTGTCACGGTGAGTGGCCAGGATGTCAGGCTTCATTTATTTTAACTACAGGGTGGACGTGTATTCATGACTTCAGATTTTGAACTGTAGTAAATACTATTTAAAAGATTAAAAGCTGATAATCTGGGGTTTAGGCCAAGTTCATAGGTAAATTATGATTTCAGAATATCTCATTTCATTATTGCTTTATTCTCTGATAGCCAAATGAAGAGAGAAATGTTATGGAAGAAGCAAAAGGCTTTCAGCCCTCAAGATCTACAGCTCAGCAGGTCAGTAGAGTACCTCATGTGAGAAATTTGGCTGAGATGGTTGACTTCTAAACATCATCTCCCACTTCCCAATTCTGATTATCCTTCTCTTGGGGGAAAACTTTAAATTCCTGTCAGCCCTCAAGATCTACAGCTCAGCAGGTCAGTAGAGTACCTCATGTGAGAAATTTGGCTGAGATGGTTGACTTCTAAACATCATCTCCCGCTTCCCAATTCTGATTATCCTTCTCTTGGGGGAAAACTTTAAATTCCTGAGTAAACTCCGTTATCTTCATTTGGGCTTTCAGGAACTTGATGGGAAACCTGCTTCTCCTACTCCAGTTATTGTGGCCTCCCACACAGCCAACAAGGAAGAAAAGGTAATTCAGACATCATACTCAAACATCCCTCTACCCGATCCTCCTCCCTGTCAATATCTGGAGGATATATAGGCCTCCGTGGTTTAAGTGATATTATCAGTTTCAGAGCAGGGGCTTTGAAATGAGAAGATGTTCTTTTTGTCTGTTAAGAAGTTTAGTTCTCATTTGGATCTTATATCCACAGATAAGTTTCCTTTAACAGTACTGTAAAACTTAGTTCCCCCTTCCTTTTGTTTGCAGAGTTTACTCGAACTAGAAGTAGATTTGGATAATTTGGAATTAGAAGATATTGACACAACAGATATCAATCTGGATGAAGATATTTTGGATGACTGACTGACTGTAATGTTTTCCATTTACCTGACTAAACAGATCATTATTATATATAGGTATTGATTGTTACCCTGACCACAGTGCTTTGGACTATGAGAAACTTCAGTTTTTATCTATAAATGCTGTGGATCACTGGGAGCACAATGCCCACATCATCTTAAGAGTTTATGTGCAGCATTTAAATCACTGTTTTAACTAAAACAGACATGGGCTTTGATTTTTTTTTTCATACTATTAGATCATATCTCATAAAACCTTTTGAATTAATGAAGATACTTGTGTTTCCTTTCTCAGTAATGAAAATAGGCCTCTAGTTTTAGGAGGTCTAGTGTTAGAAGCCTGAGCCGAAACTATACCTTGTCTAGGAGTCAGCCTCTCTTTTCTTTGCATGACTAAATCTGCATTTTCAAGTGCTGTTAATCACATTTTTCTTAGAGCTGAATATCCATGCTGCAATTCTCTAAACCCTTTTTATTGACCTCATTGCATCATTCCACAGGTCTTGCTCTGATTTTGTCTAGCAGCTACCCATTTCCAGATTCAGATGTGAAACCTCTGTTCCTCTGACTTTTAGCTGGGATCTGTCTAAATTACCATTTGCCCTATTTGGTAACACACACATACACAAAAGTACTTTTTAACTGTATACTCATCTAACGTGATTCGAGAAATTCATAACCGGGCACTCAAATATCCTTGTAGCATAGGAAAGTGAGTAGGGTAACAATTTTTGCTTTGTAGAGAAAACTACAAATTGGTACCTTTTAATCTCACCGTTTTTTAATATTTAGCTCAATATTAACAGAGAAATGTCAGTATTTAGTAAAATAAGTATATTTTTAAAATATTTTCAGGAAGCTGCAGAATGGCTGAGTGCTTCTTGATGGTAAGTTTGCAGTGTTAGTTCTATATATGCTCCCTTCTGTGCTTCTGTTTTTGCAAAGACCTGTTTAAATTTAAAAAAAGTTTTAAACCAATTGGACATATATTTATAAATTTTTCAGTTTTAAGATATCATTAGCATTTCTGTAGTAGCAGAGTCCTACTTAAAAAGGTCTTTCAAATTTCACAATTTTTCCTGATTATAATACAATAAAAACCCATGGACAGAAAAAGTATCCAGCACATTTCAAGCAATACTAATTCTAAACAACAGAAGTATCCAATTAAGACCCTGACATTGTACTAATATTAATACTTCCTGCTAGATCAAAACAAAAACCATTAGGTTAGAGAGAAACCTAGAGGGCTAAGAGTTACCATTCTAATTTTTCACTTTAAAGAATATTTTCTCCAAATGCATTTTGTTTTATCTGGTTCATCAGAGAAAATTAATACTGTAGTTTCTCTCTACTCTTCCCAGGATGTCATCACAGGTCACTGTTCCCTTAGTAAGACTTCGAACTGTTTTGCAGCATGCAAATAGTGTTACTAGGATAGAAGCCAGTGCCACAAAACCATGTCGATTCTGAGCATTAGAAGAGATGAAATTACACAATCTCCTTTCTTTCCTTCCTGAAAAAATCATCTCAGCATTTACAGATAGATATATATAAGCCCATGGTTTTGAGAGGTGGGCAGCTCCAAAATGACAATACAACTAAAGCTTGGTGATACACAAGCACCACATTCTCCACTTCTTGACGCGTGCCCATTTCCCCCAATGTGATGTGACCACACTGACAGGAAGCTGCTCTGGGAGACATGTGCTACTTACTTCTCTACCCTGTCCTGTTGGTGACTTGATCACCTCAGGTGCAGCTCAGCCCTTCCAGTGCCCCAAAGAACAAGGGGGTTGCTGCCCCCATTGTCCAAAGTTCCCTGGACTCCAGCTGCTAGGACGCCCATCACTCAACTTACTTTACTGTACTCTATCCCCCTCCCATTTCTATTGTCCAGGCTGAAGAAATACAGGAACAAATCAAACTGATGTTTTCAAGACCACAGATGTCCCATATTCACAAATCTGTTTAGTTACCATTAATTATGACCCAATTTTGAATTTTTCCCAACTCAATTACCACCACAAAGCCAATGTGGAAAGAAAAAAACTTTACCTTAATTAAATTTATTCCCTCAGCAGCCTGATCCTTGGCCTCTTGAGCCGACTGGCCGTCTGGATGGAGTATATGATACAGCTGAACCAAGCTGATGGCATCATCGATTCTGAGAATGAAAGGGCTTAATGTTATCTAGGGGTTTTCTTCATTTGCTTCACAGTCCTATAAAAGTATGTGCCAACCTCAAACTAAATTACATTTCAGACTTTCCTCAGGCTGAGGGGTTTGGGGAGGAACCTTCCGTTTTATAGTTTCAAAAGCATTTTCAGGAAAATTGACTAATTTAGGCTTCACACCAACGCTGTGAGGCAGGTAGAGCAGGAGTCACTGCAGGAAGTGTCCAAACATGGCTATATTCTTTTTGGAAAAAGAGCACCGTTTCTCACAGAAACAACATTCCTCATAGTAGATCATTTCCAGGCCCGCCCACTTCACCAGCATGTAATAGTCTAATCCAACTCAGGGGACAGAAATACAGCTTCATCCTACATAAGTAGGATGGTGGTGGTCACAGGGATCTCAAAGTCACTCGCTTCTAAGTGATAGCTGCTAACAGAGACAAATGCCTCTACAAGAGGCCCCCTAAGATTCCAGGGAAAGACACAGGACTATTCACAGGAACGCATGAGTAAAAACTAGCATCTAAAGCTAGCATCCCAGTGAAGCAAATTATACACACACATCAGACAAAAAGGAAAGTCGGGTTCTACATCAGCAATCTGTCTAACTTCAGCATCACACAACTACCTATGAAGAAGCCAGAACAAGAACTCAATTCTTCCGGTTTGTACTTACTTCTTAGAAATGTATAAACAATTTTTATCAACATTACAACTTCCCCAAACCAAACAATCACTATCTTCTCACACAGCTGACACTTTCCTACTATTTGCCATCTCATCGCTGGAGGGCGTATAAAAATAACACTCAGAATGTTGGTGCTTTTGAGGCTTTGCTATATATACTTAGTGAACTACTGGCTTGCAGGTGGGAATGGAGGGCTGGGATACCCTAATTCAGTGCTTCCGCAGCTAGCGCTCTTCAACCTTCCCTGCTTTTCCCTTACCTGAGCTAGGGGACGAAGAACAGGATGACAGTGGGAGTAAGTACAGAATTCCTCAAGCCCTGGTAGCCTTAGAGAAATGCTCAGGGCTTAACCTGAGGTTCATGGACCCTAAAGGCCATCTCAGGGAAAACAGAAATCAGAGCTGTTTGCATAGTAAAGCTTTTCAGGAGGAAAAAAATAAAAATGTTCATTACAAATCTATTGTGCTTGTTTCAATCTAAGTCCAATAACTGCAGCAATGAACTGTCTCCCCAGTAAAAAATTAAAATTCCCTTTGTAGCCTAGGCATGTGGCCTTATAAAGAGCTTAACTGGTATATTTAGGGCTTCATTAGGTTCATGCTGAAGTATAATGCCTGTGCCTCACAGAACAATTTAAATTTAGCTTAACACCCCACCCATACTTCAAGAGCAAATAAATTGTACTCCAAAAAGACTTTTAAAGAATATCAACATAAAAACCAACAGTGGGACTTGAGTCTGAAATAAATGTGTGCAGAATCCTAATTCTTGCCTAAGCTCCATTCAGTGAGGATGTGCACCCTCTACTGTCCAGCCGGGATCTGCAATAAGCTCACTGTCCTGCTCAGAATGACCACAGGAGGGCTTTTACCTAATAGTATGAAAGGCTAAGTACTCAAACTTCCCCTCCCAGTAAGCACGAACCACTTCAGATGTAAAGTGTACATGTGATGAGTAATACTATAATAGCATATATTAATACACCACAATAAAGAACTTTTTCAAACATTTCTGTGTTGCTCTAATTTTTTATAAGAACATACTGTTTTAATAATAAAACAATTTCAAGCCAGGCACGGTGGCTCACACCTGTAATCCCAGCACTTTGGGGCAGATCACCTGAGGTCGGGAGTTAGAAACCAGCCTGACCAACATGGAGAAACCCTGCCTCAACTGAAAAAATACAAAATTAGCTGGGTATGGTGACACATGCCTGTAATCCATCTACTCAGGAGGCTGAGGTAGGAGAATCACTTGAATCCAGGAGGTGGAGGCTGTGGTGAGCCGAGATCACACCATTGCACTCCAGCCTGGCCAACAAAAGTGAAACTCTGTCTCAAAAATGAATAAATAAAACAATTTCAGAAATGATTACTCGAGAAACTTTATAAGTGGAAAATTCATTCATAGGTGATAATGCACATAAAGGCAAGTAACTTGAGCATCCCCATCACCACCAGCCCGATTATGGGGTATGAAGGTATATTTCTGCCCTCTGATTTACATTACACTACATATGCTGCTGAAATGGGCTGGTCTGGAAATCATTATTAGGAATATTGTTTCTATGAGAAATGATGCCCTTTTTCAAAGCATGGACTGTATTTTATCCTGAAGATAAATTCTGTAGATCTTTCAGCTCCACATGCCTTACCTTTTTGTCTGTTTATTAGGATACTCTGTAAGTCAAAAGCAGGTTGAAAGTGGCAACAATCTCAAAACCGTCATGTAGTTCAGACTTTTGAGTCCAGCAAGGGCTTTTTGTGGAATGCTGAGTTTCTGACTACAGCTATGCTAGTTCCTTGTCATTTTGGCTTTACTAAACTAACTGATAGAAAGTTGCTCAAAAACTCTTCTCTCTACAGTTTTATCACAAGTTGTATTATTTCCAGTTAGAAGCCTGGGAGCACACCAGCCTGATGCTAAAATATAACAGATATTTTTTGTTTCACGCTACTCAAAAGAAGCTAACTTTTTTGATGCCTTAAAAATCTTGCAAAAGCAAGTGATATCAAAAGTATTTTCATAAGTTAAAGGATGGTGTTTACTGAAAAGCCCTAGAAATAGTTCTACCAAAAAAGAACCACAGAGCTTATTTCTACTTCTTTACATTTCCTATTTAATCCCCCTTTCAGTATCTGGAAAGTTCATTGACTCAGGAGCATTAGTGAGCCCCAGGTAAGCTAATATTGAGAGTTTACAGCACAGATCCAAAGCCACTTATCAAGAATCTAGCACTGTTTATATAAAAGCAAAAACTAGGAGAGTTAGGTTATACTAAAAGAGCAAATCCATAAACTAAGGTAAGCAAGCACTAGACAATACAGTGTTATCACTGGAAAAAGACCATAGCTTAAATACAGATGAACTATTAGAGCAACAAGAATGATTCTTTCACTTACTAAGATCATACTTACAAATCTCTCTGAATCTGGTCAATCAGCAAACCATCAATCCTTTTATTATTGACAAAATACCACACCATTCCACCAAAGTATCTTGTTGAACGTAAAAGGTCGTATTTTCCATGTTTATCTATATCCTCATAGGTCTGGTGATGAACCTATGAAAATAAAGAGGAGGAGGCAGCATTATTCAATGTACACTGATTAGCATGAGTGCTGCCCAAGTAAGTAAAACCAGGTCTACTTACAGTTGCCTTGGTATCATTAATCAACAGGTATGATTTAAACCATTCCTAGTACAACCCACCTTAGGTGGGAGGATTCTATTAAAAAAGAATGTTGGCCAGGCACAGTGGCTCATGCCTGTTATCCCAACACTCTGTGTGGCCGAGGTGGGAGGACTGCTTGAACAGTCTTCATCTCTAGGAAAAATTTTTTAAAAATTAGCTGGGCATGGTAGGCCACAGAGCAAGACCCCGTCTTTAAAAAAAAAAAAAAGAATTTGTCTTAATGACAACAAGTCTGTCCCTTCTCCACTGCAGAAGTATGCAGCAGCCTGGAGCAAGACACCAAACATTTATAACCATATTAATTACATTTTGGCAAGCCAACTACAATTTAAGCACCAATTACACATATAGAGACCACTAGGAATAATGTAGCACCCACTTCTTGGTAATTATGGGAGAAAAGAAATCAAGAGTATTTTTTCACTACTTTCCCTTTCCCCTATCCTTCCCATCAACTACCCTATTCTACCAGCTAGCCCATTCCATCTTGTTAACTGAAAGTCTTTCAGTCCTCCTTCCAGATTGAGCTTCCTAAATGAAGATTCTGAGGGGCGTTCCTCTGTTCAAAAGGCTTTCAAAAGTCTGCTGAATGAATTCCAGATTCCTCAGCCTAGCATCTGAGGTTACCTATGATGTGACTGCATCCACCTTCCTAGCTTAATCTTTAATCACTCCCCTACATGTACGCTGAATACACAAGCAAACCAGATCACTGGCCATTCCTCAAGCCCTACTTTATTTCCTGCCTGTTGCTTATACTGCTCTCACTACCTGAAACACTCACCAAACTCTGCCTGCCACAATGTTTCCTGCACTTCTAGAACCCTCTGTAACACCCCTATGAAGCCTTTCCTCAAAGAATTTGTAATCTTCTCTTAGTACCTAGCATTTTAGGTCTGAGGAAATAATTATCAGTTACTTACTAGCATCCTTCCTCACAGCCATATATGGACTGTTGGATTTGGCACAGCATACCCTATCCTAGTTCGTGGCATTACCTATACTACATAAGACAATACCTTACACATAGAAGGTATTATGAATACTTACTGAGCTGTAAGACACACACTGTACTTTGGCAAATTTTAGTAAATAACTTGATTCCTATATGGTAAACTGGAAAGAGAACAGGCTTTATCATCAAACTTGGGTCCTAACCCTACCACTTAGTAGCTATGCAGCTTTCAGCAAGCTACTTAACTCTACAAGCTTAAATTCCCTCAACCTTTCTTTAATCAAAGGTTGTTGTGATAAAATATATATCTGGCACACATCTGTACTCAACAGATTTTCAGATATTTCTCTTCCCTTTCACCCTTATCAAAACTTGTGACCAAATTTGTTGTACTAGATTAAAAATCTTACTCATAACCATAATTAAGCCTCTATTTTAGAAACTAAAATATACTCACCTTGATATACTCTGCAGAATCTGGCTCAAACTGGGCAAAGCAGAGATTGAGGACATCAACATGCCTGTCCTGGCTATACATAGTCTAAAACCACACAATAGAGTTAGCATCACATGGGAACACAAAAGTTCAGCACCCATCCTGATGCCATGACAGGCCTGCCCCCCCCCGACATACTGGACACTCTGTGCTCATCAATAAGCATAAAGAAGTAACACAGCCTTTGTAACTGTCACACCTAGATTCAAATTCCAGCTAAGCCAATTATGAAAGCGAGAACCCTAGTACAACCCACCTTAGGTGGGAAGAAGGATTCTATTAAGAAGTCAAGTTACCATTAGAAATGTTTATCTGGATCAAGGCAAAATGCTAAGCAACAACAAAGCCAATTGGTTCTACAAATAAATCATCACCACTGACTCTAAAATATAAAACCTAAGTCACCTTACCCTAATATTTTCTTCCTTGAAAATTACTGGTGTCAAAACTTTACGACCTTCTTTTGGGAAATAAATTTGTATCATTCGGTCCCGTTCTTCCCAAGAGGCTTTGCGTAGTGTGCCACTTGGTTCTCTGACGACAATAAAACGCTCCTAAAATAGAAAAACATAATCAAGGATGCTTTGTGAGGACTTATTTTTAGTTCCTGTGTCCCACTAAGACCATTATAAGAATTTGCAATCAATATAAAAAGCAACAGAGAAACATAAAGTGCAATCATGCATATGAGTTCAATGATAATTTTAAACCTCAAAAACTTAGCAAGGTTTGATACTTCCTTCACTAATCACTGGCTGTGCATCTGACAATCAGAAATCTAAAATGAAAGTATTTAGTAAGTACCAACTATGGAGCTAACGTGAGTTCGATACGAAAAAAGCTGATCTGAGATTTGTCTGTATCCATTTAGAGGAAAGAAGTGCTATAAGACCTTTCCAAACTTTCATTTCTCTACCCCAGTCTCATCTAAACAGATTTTACTACTTTATGATCTACGTTTGAAGTCCTTGGGATAAAAGGAACAAACTCAAGAATGAAGTCTTACTTCTGCACTTCTATGATTTCTCACACTGGCATTAGACATAAACATGTCTGACAGACTATCTGGTCTACCTGTCTCTGGTCACTTCATTCTTCCAACTGCCAAGTCCCAGGCCATAAGACCACTTCCTCCTCTAAATTCTACCTATTTTTTATGCCATTCAACTGGACATTTCCCCTGGGCAAGATTTTTGACAGCCCTCACATATTGCTATGTAACTGCAAAAGGGCAGGAAATGTGAATTATAATTCTTTGCAATACCCAGAGTGGCATACATGGAGCTTAGCACATTGCTGATAATTGATATACACCTGATGTATTAAACTAACCAAATGGTACTAACTCAACTTTTCAGAGGTGTAGGAGTCTCTAAACGCATTCTCAATACAATTTAATTAAAACTTCATCAACACTGTTAACAGGAATAAAAGCACATGCCAAAATAATACAATTTTCCCTCAGAAGTATTTTGATAATTTGAGAAACCTGAATTTCAAGTTCCCTTCTCCCTTTCACGTTATAAAATGCTTCTCAACCAGCCTTCATAGCACTGTAAACATATATTAAAGCATCACAAAACAAAAATTTTAAAGTTGAAACTCTGTGACAAGTTCATTAAGTCATGTATAGAGATGGCTGTTGATATTCACTTGGGGTGGCTGGCAAAATATTAAAGATATATTAGGAAAAATTATAGATTACAGTCTCAAACTTTTTGGAAGGCCAAACAGTTTTAATGAGGCAGGCCAAAAGCGGCCAGCTGGTCCATTAAGTTAGGGAGAGGATCAGGACTATAAGAGACTTTCCCAGTTTTAAGTCTGTTTACCCCACATCCCTTTGTCTCTACTGTTTACTCATGTAAACTTTGTGCTAGATGGCCCTCTCAGGGGAAGATCAAAGGGGAATTACCCGTTAATGGTGTTTACTCTGGACCCAGAAACTAAAGCTTTTATCCTTTATAAAACCACTCACTTAACCATGTTAATTATCCACAAGTGTGTTAACTTAGAGCCTCTGTTGTAAAATTCATACTAAATAAATGTAATGATGGAGAGGGAGTCTTAGTGGATTGGTTGCATTTCACCCTCTAAAAACATCCAACAGCCATCCCTAGCCCACTCAAATCACTGAACCAGGTGTAAAAGTGCATTCATTCATCCATGGTTGAGTCAGGGTCTGCAGGCCACATTTCTGCAGGTGGTGACCCTGACATGATCAAGGTCACAGATGGCTGGTGTTGAACATAGTTCAAATCATTTTCTAACCATAATCATGTATAATAAAATATTAATAAGGAGTGGACCTTCTCCCAAACTCAGCATTCTATAGTGTTCTAATGTATTCTGTGGGCTGAATTGTAAACTCTTCTCTTTTTATTCTTAACTTGCAAAGGCTCAAATACAAAACTGATATATTTCTAAAATGCCAGAGTGTTCTTTTAAATTGGTAATCAAAGAAAAGGGAGCCAGAGAACAACAAGCACAACAGAAGTGGTGATGCCTGGAAATTATCTGAGAAACACCTGTCATTCTTACTGAAAATTCGGGAAAGTGAAACTCCTTTATGAAGTCTGAGTTTCTCGGCATCATCAAGGAATTTACAGGACAAAAACAGTCTATCTTCTCAAAAAGCTTTTGCTAAACATATCAGTCTAACTTCAGCAAAAAGAGTCTCCTGCTTCCATTGCCTTGTAGATTTTTGTCCATTTGTGGTTTGGGATGGGTTTCTTTATCTGTGTATCTCTTGTTCTGTCTCAGCACATCTGGAATCTGGAATATATTGGGTCTATTATCTGCAGAGAAATGGTAACATCATGACTTGGGGCTGGTCTGCATTTCTCATTGCTCTTTTTTTTTTTAATCTTCCAGAAGGGTCTCACCCAGTGAGAGGAAATCTGGTTTGGAAGCATAAGAGACAGCCAGGTCACATCATCCCTAAGGCCCTTCTCCACATGGTATTTCAAAGATCATTTATATACTCACCCGGTGTGGTATGCTATATGATATATCAGTAAACACATATTTGGTTGTTTCTGTTCCTTCCAAAATCCTATCTTCAGCTAACACATCGTTTATTGGTACTCGCTCTTCCAGAACCGGTGGCATTTTTAATCTTACTTTAGCTGCCTCAACTGCCTGTCTTGTAGCCTAATGAAAGAAAATATGTATAAAGGAACACCACAAGGTTACATAACAAAAAGATCATCCAACAAAAGCAGATACTAATAAAAAAAATGTGAAAAACTGCAAAGAAAAGAAGCTGTAGCCATGAATCAATAAGTAAAAAGCCAAACCTGTGAGCCCTGGCCTTTGCCTCTGCAGTGTGGCTGAGACCACCAGCTATAGGCTCAACCATTATCAAAATCACAAAGGAATGATCTGAGACAAAGCCAGGCTACAAAAGCTGCTTGAACTAGAATAAGGAATGTAGTTATTGGGTGCTTACTATGTACCAGATATGGTTCAAATACTCTAAAAGTATTTGGCTCATTTAATGGCCTCAATTACCTTATGAGTTAGGTCCAATTGTTATCATCTCCATTTTACAGAAGAAAAAACAGATGCACACAGGTGTTAAATAAATTGCTAGGAAATTGCAGCACTGGTATTTGAACCTAGACAACCTAACTTCAAAGCCCATTCTCTTAACCACTGACTAAACTGCTTCATGCCATACTGTTAACAGTGGTTACCTCTAGGAAGTGAGAAGGGGGACTTTTACTCTTCATATAATCTAATATTAGATATATATATATATTTGCTATGACTATAAATTACTTTTGAATCAGAAAGATGAGTATTAATGCTTTACTTATTCATACATCAAAGTGTTTTTCACAAAGGACTCAGTACCTATGGCTCCAGGAGGACACTGGTGCCTGGGAAACACGCTGTTTCCATGCAAGCTCTCATAATCTCACCAAAGCTTCAGCCCCAAGGCAGCTCACCGTAGATGTTTCTCCAGGAAGGAAGCTGGAGCAGGCAGGAAAAAGGAAGGGTGCTCAGGCTGCCTTGAGAGCAGAGAGGGGACTCTCTGAACACCCAGATCTAATCCATAGCCCTAGTCTGCTCAATTCCAGCCATCCTCCTTGCCACTCTCTGGCTGTCTACGCACATTTCCTTTCTCAGTTCTTTCTATGCCTGACACTACCCTTCACTAGTGCCTGTGGAAGAACAGCTGTAAGCATCTGCAGGGGCCTCTAGAAATGCCATTTAACCCCTTAAAGAAAGGTATTCTAACAATATTCCTTCATTCACCTACCTCTTCCAACTGTGCCTGAGTCATTAGCTTATAGGTTGGTGGTTTCAGTTCTTGAATAGCTGGCTTAAAAGTCTTCTGCAAGTTCAAGCCTGTCATTTTCGTGAGTATGCTTTGAACTTCTTCATCCATAAATGTAGGTTTTTTGGTCTCTGAGCTACCAGATTCTGCTAAAATCAACTTTAGTAAATTAAGAAGGTGACAAAAATGACAAGCCAACAAGACCTCTAAATAGAAAACTAAGTTAACAATAAAAAGTATTATCACAATGTCTACCTTGACACTGCAAAATGCTAATACCTATAAGATTCATTCATTCCTTCCTTAAGATTTACTGAGCATTCATTATGATGAGGTGACAGACTCAGTCTCTGCCAAAAGGACAGGCTACTGGAGGAAGTAATGGGAATAAAGTAAATAATGTTATAACTGTAATGGTTGCTGCCATTTACAGAGCTGTCTCTGTATGGCAGGTATAACATACATTTTCAGGAATGCTTACAACCACTCACAAAATAGGTACTGATACCCCAATTTTAGAAATGAGGATGCTGAGGCCTGCCAAAAGACAACTAACTATTAAGTGATAAGAGTTAAAATTTAAACCAAGGTTTGTCTGGCTCTGGATCCTAGATGGTTTCCAATTTATCATAGTACTCCTTGGTGTAAGTGAAAGGTGTGAGGAGACATAATCTGAGAGGTATGGTATACAGAAGAGGTATGGGGCTTGGGTGATTGCCCAGGAAGAAACTAAGCATGGCCTGGACTAGGGATGGACATGACCGGATCAAAGAAAGCTTCCCAAGAGCCTCATCAGGACAGAGAAAAAAGAGGAAAAGTCTAGGTAAGAGATTGCAGCTAGGAAAGAGAGGCTTAGATCACTGAACATGATACTGTAGAGGCTATGTGGTATCATGGAAGGACCTTTGACATAAGAGGGTAATAAAATCTTAGCTCTGCTTCATGCAGTTTGCCTATTACTTCGTCTAACCTCTATTTCCATTTCTATTAGTAAAAAAGAAAGAAAAAGTCATTTGTTTCTAGTCACCTTTTCCTCTCCCAGTCCTATAAATGTTGGTATCCCTCAAAATTCTGAACGATGTCCTTTGCTCCCTTTTCATTCTTACACGGTGATTTCTCCAAGCCTCCCATGACTTCAATTGCCTTTTATATGTCAGAAACTCTAAAATCAGAATCTCCAGCCAAAATCACTTTCCATCCAATTACCCAACATCTCTCGTGTACTTATACAATCAAATTAGAACCCATCAACTTTCCCTTGTCTCAAACCTGCATTTTCTACTGTCCCTGTCTCAGCATCATCCAGTAGGTCATACAGGTTAGAAATCTTACAGTCATTCCTAAATTCTCCCTGATCCTCCAGATCTAGCCAATAGCAGTAATAACAACAATAATCAAATAGCTGTAATAACTAGTTATAAGAGCTGCCATTTATTAGCTATTTACTATGTGCCAATACTGACTGAGCTAAGTACTTTACACACTCAGCCCATTTAATACAACCACCCATGAGGTGAACACTATGATTATCCCCATCTTACAAAAAAAAAAAAACACTGGCAGAGAACATACTGATTGTTTGCCTTCATAAATCTCATTTTAATCCTCCATTTCCCATTGCCACTAATCTAGTCAAGGCCATCCTCATCTCTTGCATCAGCCCCACTGCAGATCATTCTCCATTGAGCAACCAGAGTAATCTCCCTAAGATTTAATCAAGATTACTCCCAAGCTTAAAATTCACAAATGGCTTCCAACATCATTTAGAAAAAAACTTAAAGCGGTCTGCTTACTTACACTATGTCTCTCACTAGGTGAAGTGCTCTATGAAGACCAGAACCTTGTCTTATACTCATCTCTGGCACCCAGGGTCCCTCAGGGTATCCAGCACATAGCAAGTACCCAGCACTACTCTCTTCTCAATCTCACCCATTCGCCCAACTTTAGTTACCATTTTTACTGCGATGTTCCTCACTTTATATCTAACTCCATACTGAACACCTGACTTTCAAAGTCACCTTAAATTTAATTCATCCTAAATAGGTTTAATTCCTCCTTTCCCATCTCCCGACCTCATCTACTCCTGCACTACCCACCCCGCAAAATAATGATTCCAGCAATTAATCTCCATCTTGGTGTAAATGGGACAACCCTCTATTCAAGTCAAAAACTTAAGAAATAATCTTGATTTTTCCCTTTAAACTCATATCCAAAGCCTTAACCAAGCCTTATCAATTCTACCTCCAAAATGAGTTTCCAAATACCTGTGCTCAGTCTCATTTCTGGACATTCATACTGTCCCCTATACTTGATAAGTTTCTTGCTATCTCCTCAGCATGGCTAACCAGATCGCAGCTTTGGTCATATTTTCCAGGAACCCCTCCCTGACCTCCCAACCTAGTTTCAGTCCCTCTACTGTGTGCGTCCCCTATCACAGGCCGCGTCACAATGCACTAATTCCCCATGAACATGAGTTCCCAGAGGGAAAGGTCTGTGTCGGTCTTAGTTTGCCATATCTCACACAGTGCTCTCTAAGGAGTGGAACTCAGGCACTGTTGGCTGAGTGAGTGAACGAATGAACAGGTGCAGGTGATGACAAACTCTACAGGTACGGAAGGAAGCCAACTGAATCTGAGAAGGCGCCACCTTAAGTGTCGCAGGGGCTGCCGCATGGTTTTCGCCAGCCAGAAAACAAGATCTACGTCTCCCAGAAGAACGCCCCAGCGAGTCCGGAAGGTCACTTACCGGCCTCGGAGCTGAGCCAGCGGCGTGGCAGCCCAGCCTCGAAAGAGCAAGGTAGCGCTTGGAGCAGGCCACAAGGCCGGGGCTCGATTCGGTCCCGGAAACAGACCCACTCCACACCCCGAGAACCTCTCAGCAGGCTCCACAATAACACAGTGCTTCTTAGGGGAGCCATGATTATCAGAGGCCACTTGCGCCGGAAGTGGATGAGAGATTTCCGAGTCACGCCCAGTTTCTTGCAGCATTGTGGGAAATGTAGTCTAGTTAAAGGCAGAAAGCACCGGAAGTCTTCTGGGCCTTTACAGACTGTTTCTACTAAACCACTTATTCACACTTCCCTATGAATAAAGTTAAAACACCTGTTTTCTGTGCTAAGCACTTATCTTAAGGCCTGGCAAACAGGGTTGTTAGTAAACTCGTTTCCATCGTTCTAAAGAACAAATTTCGGGCCAGGTGGTGACTCAAGCCTGTAATCACAGCACTTTGGGAAACCAAGGTGGGCGGATCACCTGAGGCCTGGAGTTTGAGATCACCCTGGACAAAATGGTTAAATCCCCATCTCTACTAAAAACACAAAAGTTAGCCAGGCATAGTGGCAGGTGCCTGTAATCCCAGCTCCTCGGGGAAACTGAGGCAGGAGAATCTCTTGAACCCTGGAAGCAGAAGTTGCAGTGAGCCTATTGCACTCCAGCCTGGGTGGCAGAGTGAGACTCCCTCTCAAAAAAATAAACAAACACTCTAGCCTTGGTGACAGAGTGAGACTCCAACTCAAATAAATAAATAAATAATTTATTTCACTTCCTGCCAAAACCTTCTCCCCCATCCCCAGGTTTAAATCCAGCTACTTTTTTAACTTCTGCATCCACCCTTCTCACACACACCCTAAATCTAACTTCTGATTCCAAGTCCTGATTACCACCCCCACCACTGCCGCCACCAATGCATACATTCGATTCTCTGTCTCAACACTTAATACTTTCCTTTATAGCTGTTTTACAATCTGTTATTTTGCTCTTTATCTGCTTATTTATTTTTCTCACCCCATGAAGACAGCGATTCTACATTTTTATTGCAATATCACCTAGGCTAGTACATCCACATGCACAGCAAACTTTTGTTGAATAAATGAATGAATGATTGATTAAATGATTCTTTATATCTTTTCCCAACTGCCCAGGATGTACAGGTCTCATCCTTCTCTAGACTATAGACTGGTGCCTGTGCTAAGCACTTCAAGGCCTGGCAAACAGAGTTGTTAGTAAACTCTTGTTTGAATTAGCTGGATGAATAGACTCACTTTCCAGCCACACCTCTTTTCCCCCAGCACTATCCATTAATCGTGTATGGGAAGGGAGAGCACTAGGCTTGGTGCCTATTCAGGCATGACTGCTACCCTGAACTTCCCAATGCTTACTCTTACCTGATAGCCAGTGTCAGAGACTAGTGGTGGGAGGAATGCAGGTGTCTCCTAGCCCATGCCTTTTCTCTGAAAGGCAACCCTTTACTTTCTTCCCATAGCTGAGAGGGCAGGCCTCAGTGGCCATGTTTTTTCTGTAAACATCCTCCTGGACACAGCTGATTAGACACTTAGTACAGGAGGAATGAATCCATTGGCTGCTGTGTTAGTTTCCTGTGGCTGTTCTAACAAACTACTACAAATATCGTGGCTTAATATAACAGAAATGCATTCTCTCACAACTCTGCATGCCAGAAATCTGAAATCAGTATTACTGAGCTGAAATAAAGGAAACCGTGCTCCCTTTAGAGTCTTTGTCTAGGAGAGAATCTGCCCCTTGTCTCTTCCAGTTTCTGATGACTGCAAACATTCCTTTGCCTGTGGCTGCATCATTTCAATCTCTGCCTCTATCTTCACATCAGCTTCTCTTCTTCCATTTGTGCCAAATCTTTTGTTTTCTTTCCTTTTTTTTTTTTTTTTTTCTTTTTTTTTTGAGACAGAGTCTTGCTCTGTCACCCAGGCTAGAGTGTAGTGGCATAAATCTTGGCTCACTGCAAACTCTACCTCCCAGGTTCAAGCGACTCTTCTGCGTCAGTCTCCCAAGCAGCTGGAATTACAGGTGCCTGCCACTGTGCCTGGCTAATTTTTGTATTTTTAGTAGAAACAGGGTTTCACCATGTTGGCCAGGCTGTTCTCAAACTCCTGACCTCATGATCTACCGGCCTCGGCCTCCCAAAGTTCTGGGATTACAAGCATGAGTCACCATGCCCAGCTTGTTTTCTTCTTATAAGAATGTATGTGATTGCATTGAAGGCCCACCCCGATAATCCAAGATAATCCCCATTTAAAAATCTTTCTTAATCACATCTGCAAAGACCATGTTTCCATATAAGGTAACATCCACAAGTTCCATGGGGTACAATTATCCTTGGGAGGAAGGAGAGGGACATTTTTCAGCCTACCCCAGATGACCAAGCACCAAGCAGATTTTTTTCTCAATAATTCAAACTAAGAGACATAGAATAGTTGATAGTGAAAAGGTGAACTGAGTAACTCTTTAGGGTCTGGGCTGAAGTAGCCTTTTTCAGCAATGTGCTCACTGATGAGTGAGCAGGGAAAAGCCACTGTGCAGAGAAAGGCATGAAAATAGAGCAGATCCTCAGAAACAGAGATGGGAGAATATGTATGGAGAGAGATGGAGAAAGGTGCTGTCTTGGCTAGAGAGCCTCCCACTTTCAATAACCTCCTTTACCTGGGCTACAGTGAGTTTTACTGACACAGAGCAACCAAGATTCCTGATTTCCACTATAACCTGGGACAGATGCTCACATCTTTCAGAGCCCCAGTACCTCACCTGCAAAATGGGCATAATGATAATACTTACCTTGCAGACTTTGAGAAAAAAGTACTTTCAGGATCTGATGTCTGGTGTTTCATAAAGACGGCGTGAGAGGTTGTATGGTGGCAAGTCAGTCAGTTATCTTCTCTTTTTCTTTTTCTATCTGAGACAAGGTCTTTCTTACTTTGTCACCGTGGCTGGAGTGCAGTGGCATGATCTCAGCTCACTGCAACCTCCGCCTCCTGGGCTCAAGCAATTCTCTCACCTTAGCCTCTCAAGTAGCTAGGACTACAGGTGCACACCACCAGGCCCAGCTAATTTCTGTGTTGTCCAGGCTGGTCTTGAACTCCTGGGCTCAAGCAATCTGCCCCTTTTGGCCTGCCAAAGTGCTGTAATTATAGGCATGAACCACAGCACCCAAGTCAGTTACTTTCTGAGGAAAGTATTCAGAGGTACTCTGCTTGCAAGAAATACATCTTTCCTGAGTAAAATTGAAATGGAAGTAATTGGAAGGATATTGAATATCACAGAATTTAAGAAAAAGCTGAACAGCCAAGCTTTGGGAGGAACTAGAAAGATGGCAGCTCCAAGAACCCCAAAGGCAAGAACTCAAGAGATCTCTCTAGGAGGTTGCTGTTTTAATGGCTTAGTTCCAACTCCCTGCCTTCCATTCAATCCAAGTTCCTGGTGAAAGGCTGAATGGTCTGGGTAGGGTCCTGTTCACCACTGGGGGTTGGGGAGGGCTGACCCTGTGATTGACAGTCTCAAGGCTATCTGGCTGCAGCTACTGTTAGGATACATTAGGTCATACCTTCACCAGCTCTATGGAGCAAGAATGGTTTTCTATCATTTGTAAAACAAAAGTACAGTGATGTCTCAGTGAGGAGTGCCTTATCCCACTGTCAGAGATTTACCAGGGTCTGGACTTCTGTTTTTTAAAAGAGATCAGTATTTTATCCTGAGCTTTTAGAATCCAAGATGGAGTTTGGGGATAAAAGTAAGGGATAGGAATGGAGAAAAGAAGAACAGAGCCCAAGAAAGAAAGGCGATGGTCTGGACAATGCAAGAACGCCCACGTTCTCCAGCAATCACCCTCTTGTGACTTCTACATAGTCTTCAATTCCCTATCCTTGAGGCCTCCTGCAAGGTCCACATCCATCCCATTTTTGTCTTCACCCAGAATTTTTCTTCTTCTGCTCCCTTATTCAGAGTCCAAACTCCTTACATGTTTCTACAGAGACACAAATTCCATGGCCAAAATTCCCCTTTGTGTGCTGAGAAGGGACTAGCAGCCAGGAAAAAAAGCAAAGATCCAGTAATGAGAAGGGACAAGTGATGTTGGGAGATCCCTGAGGAAGCTTCAGAGGATGAAGATTCTAAGTGGAGGCATTGGTAGTAGATGCAAAGGAGCCTCTGCACCAGGAGGCCAGGAGTTAAGGATGATTAGAGTGTAGATACGTTTTGGGGAGAGAATCAGAGAGACTTTCTGCCTCTCTGTCCCTCTTTTTCTGAGCATTGGAAAGCAAAATCATTGGCCGAGAAGAAGTACAGTTGTGCTGGGAGCTATGGGAATGAGCAGTTTGAAGTATCTGCTGGGGCTGGGCACATGGCTGGGATGCAGACTGCTGAGCAGTGGGACAGTTGGTAGCAGTACAGAAGAGGAGATAATTCCAGAGAAAGAGAAACATTTGAAGATATTCCTATAAGGCTACATGAGGGTGTACCTGAGCAAAAAACCTTGAACAATGGTGGGAATGGTTGAAGATGTGATGGCCCAAGCCCCTTCCCTCTCCCTCAGAGCGCACTGTCTTCTCATTAGCCCTGTTGGTCTTCATGGCAAATTGGTGAGGCAGACAGGGCAGGCACTGATATTCCCATCTTCTATTTGCATAAACTGAGGCTCTGAAGTTAAGGGTCTTGTGCGAGACCACCCAATTTATTGCATGCAGTGACAAGGCTGAACTCTGAGGTGTGTGGCAGCTCTTGTGGTGAAAAAGCTCTGTTCCACATGTGTTCAGTGGGGTGAAGGAAAACACCAACACTTCCAGAAATTACATAGACTGACTTCTGAGCCAGAATGTGACCCAAAAGAGAGAAGGAGGGAGACTGTCCACCACCACGAGACAGTGGGGGTGG